ATATATATATATATATATATATATATATATATATATATATATATATATATATATATATGTATATAAAACACATGTTTTATTCTTGCATTTGATTGGTGTATATTTATCTAAAGAAATATGCCTTTATTTACCTAGTGGAATCAGATGCAAGAGCTCATTGAACACTCATAAACATATAAAAAATAATTTAACAATATTGAAGGCCTTCTACATACAGTAAAAATAAAGAGACTATTGTTGAGATAAAACTGTTATCTTTATTTAAAATTGAAAAGCAGAAGTAAAGCTGTTGTATTTATCAGAACTGTGAATTTTTTTGAAAAAGTCTTTGCAGAAACATTTATTTTGAAAATGCCCTGAATCAGAGTAAACCAAGACAATTTAGCCAAATTCGGAGTAAATCGGTATTCCGGGTAGCATTTGAAAAAAATCCGGAACGAGGGGATAAAAATCTGTCCCGTCAGAAAAACGGGACGTTCGATCATTTTCAGCAAGACGCAAAAAGACATAAGAAAGCTAAACATAAACAAATAGAACAAAGACAAAAACATACCGATCAATGGGCTGATATTTCCACTCTGTTGCCTTAAGATAATCGAGTTCTTTTCGTAAGGATTGTACGCGTTTAATATGTAGCTCCTTGAGTAGTCGTTTACGTTGCTTCTGGTCCTGCCACTCACACTTCATAAGATTCAGAATCTTAGAAGTTTGATTTGCGCTTGAAGTTAATTCTGAGTCTTGCGATTCCGGTGTCCTTTGCCCTGTTGAGTGTCCTAGAGTGCTCGACGATAAAGTGGACGAATTCATAATTTGTTCGCACGAGTTGTTTCAACACCGGTCACATGTTTAAGTTTGCATCTTGTTAAAAACCTAACCTAGCTCAGCTGCGCCAATCCAATTAGTCACGCTCGAGAATTAGTCGTGTAATTTGTAAAATTCAACGGCGAAATAATAGGTACGGGTAATAATACGCGGCCTTGAGAAAATACGTAATATAAAATTGTGCACCAACAATAATATTCACCAACTGCATCATTCTTCTCTTTCCCTCTCTCTCAATAGCTCCAGATAGCGCCATTCTTCGAGACGGATTGAAAATGAATGATAGTCGATTAATGAATTGATATTCGATTTATTTTTTTAAAAAATCGATTACCTTATCGGTATTTTAAAATCCTTTTTAGCTATGTTTTCGATGAAAATTACAATATATATTTTCAGTACTTATTATTATTGTAAAATATAATTTTGTAAACATCTTAAAATCTTATTTTTCATTTCTGTCTGTATCTTCCGCAAAAATACTAGCGATGAAATAGTTCAAGAAGTATTTAATAGCTTTCTAATCGTTTAGATATCTTAAAACTTGCCTTGCGCCTTCAAAGATCAGCAATTTTAAAAGCAAAAAGAAAAAATAATAAAGATACACCATATATACACACATACATACACATGCAACATATGTATATATTTAAATAATATATTTTTCAATTGTTTTTAATTGTATAGTTTTCAATTGTTTTCTTCTTTCATTGTGAGTTCAAACGTTTTATAAATTAGACATCAAAAATACTATTTCATCCATGCTACATATTTGATAATTTCTTAGCGAGTATTTGGTAGAAAAATGATTCCTCGATAAGACGTTTGTTAAATCTACAATATGAATAATTAAAAAATTGCGACAACATGAAAAAAGCCACGCCAACGCGATCCCTTACAAAACTGTCGCGCTTACAACTCGCGCAGAAACCATACGGATTCTGCTGCGAAGAGAAAGATCAGGATCCCGATAAATATTATGATATGCAAAATCCACCCTTTGCATCATCTCTGACGAATGTAATTCTGAACGGCGGCGGCCCCGGTATTAAGTTTCGAGTTGATGATATTGATCGTCCACCATATTCTGTTCAACTTCGTAGAATTTTAGAAGTGAAAGGAGTAGATTATCTAGGGCGTTGCAAGAGATGTCGAGGTCCTTTGCGATGGTATTTGGAGGACGAAATTGCACTAGCACGTGAGACCATGGCTGAGGAAAGACAAAATAATTACAAGGAGAACATGAAAAAAAATTTAAAGATCGCCAGACGAAAGAGTAACGTTTTGTCTAATATATATAAAAAATTTATTGAAAATTTTGTGAAAAAATAGTCTTATAGTACACCTCAAAATCTAAATTTAAGTTGGCAATATTAATTACTAAGAATTTGAAAATTTTTTTTTCCAAATAAAGACATAATATTAACGCTTTTCTGTTGGAAATATATGTTTGCTGATATAACTAATTCTGTAGATTCTTTATCTTAAATCTTTAATATAGAAAGAAGACGCAAAAGTCGCATTAAAGGAATCAAATTTCAGAAGAAGAATATTTCGGAATTGTAAGCAGCACAAAATCATCAAGAGTTGGCAAAATGATTACTGTACTTGTCTTGAATAATATAAGAAAGATTATTATGAGTTTAATTAAATATATACATACATTATATAATGAAACCCAAAAATAAAAATTATGGATTGTAAACGAGATTAGAATCACAATTGTAAACTATACAAGAAAGTAAAGGTAAAATTATTGAAAATATAATTAGCACTTATATAATTATGATTATAAAATATGATTATATATGACTGTAATCATATATAATTTGAGACAACAGGAGATTTTTTTTAAATGTTTATTAGAAAATATATTTTAGCGGCATACAAACATTTATACAGTTCCTGTTATCTATTATAATCATAATAATGTTAATATATAACTGATCAGAGGAAGAATTAAATGAATGTTATATTATTACATGGTTTAGGATACACAAATGTTTCATAATTCTATATATATATATATGTAATAGATAATTTTAATGTGTGTATAATATACATATATGAAAATAATGCAATGAACATACACAAAATGCAACTCTTTCTTAGAGTTTTAGGCATTTATATTACTGCCAATGTCAAGGTGATCTTTTTACAATGCTTGACCGACTCGTGTTGCGTATAATGTTTTTCTATTTTTTCATCGAGGTTTTACTTAATTTTATAACGAACATTATACAACAGTTTATGAATATGTATTTATACTATTTGCATTTATAGTCGCGTATTTGCCAGAAAAATACTTAGTAACTGCACTACTCTACTTGTTAAGAATATACATTAAAAACTGTTGCTCTGTTACACGTTATATAATCATTATTAGTATGTCATATAAGTAAAAAATTTCGTTTTACTATTTAATTTATTCAGTCAAAATGAAAAATAATCTGTCGTATCATTACTGACATAATTGCAAGGAAGTTCTTTAAATATGATAGGTTTTACTTGAAAGTTTAATTGAAAAAATAGTGATATCAAAATTATTTTAAATATTTATTGTTAAATGGCAACTCTAAAAATAAAAAATTACGAGAACGCAGCTCCTCGATATCATTAACAAGTATTATTTTATAACGTAAGAATAACATAAACGACGGTCCATTAGCTAGATGAATTAATCTTTGGTTGAATATCTGATAGCATCAGCATGTACTGCTGTAGCAACATATATTCATAAAAAACGCGACTTATCTGTACTCGTAGAAGAAAGAAAAAGGTAATGAACAGGAGAAAAACAAAACCATATCATTATACTCTCGCATAAAAATATACCTCTATATGCAAACATAAAAAAAATGTAAAATGAAGATAATTTGTTGAAAAATGTGTAACGCTTACCTATTATCTATTGAAGTAACATACTTTCGTATCGCAAATTTACATATATTTATGTAAATTTGCAATATGTACATACTTGGTACAATATTATAAAGTTATACCGCGTATTAAGGAATGTTTTCTACGGAAACGGTAAGTATTTCGTCCTCTTCCTTTGCGGAATCGGCCACTGATTGTAAGGTGCTTGCAGTACTAGCCGACATCTTTGGTGTGAGAAAATATGTTGCCATTTCCGGATCCGGTGACTCGCCCCTAGAGATACATCCGGGTACTATTTTGTCTTCGGATCGTCTCCTCAAACTCAGAGGCCTACGTTGTTCGATTATATCAGTCTTGGTTACGGACGATAGTGGTGGTATTACTACCATGTCCGTAGATTTCGTGGAAATTTTCTGATCTATACTTGCGCTCTTTAATGTGACTTGTAAATTGTCATTCTTGTTTGCACTTCCACATGCAGTCTCATCCTCAACCGGACTTTGTCTCTGAAGTTCTTTAACGGGATTTATATGTTGTTCTTTCGGTGACAAACAGCGGATATTGGGATCGTCAAACGTTGTATTCACAGTTTGGCGTTCTAAAGATTCGTTTATATTAAGCTGTGCTTCGGATTGTGCTTCTTGTTTCTCCATTTGATCAACATCAATTGGCACATCCTGTGATTTATTCGTTACTAATAAAGTCTTTTCCGAATTTGAATTCTCAGTAACATTCTCTGTTATATTTATTGATATTCTTTCACTTACAATTGTTGACTTCTGAAGTGAAACATCTGAAGATTCGTTTATATCTATAGGTTCTATTTTAGAACTTAATTGCTGTTCGTTGACGTCATCTTGAGTAATCAGCAGTTGTTTTTCACTAGCAACTAATAAATCTGATGGCTTATTTATATCTATAGATTCTACTTGAGTAGCAAGCTCTTGCTGTTCATTAATGTCATCTTGAACGACAAACTGTGATTCATTAGTAACTGGCAAGTTTACATCATTAATTTCTTGCAAAACTGCATCTTCAGTAGTGTCTTTTACCATATTATTAATTATATCGTCGATACTAAGGTCTGTTACAATGGACGTGGATTCTTTAAGAGACGTTGCGTTTGTATCGAAATATTCTGACACTTTGTTTACTTCTGAGGTTTGTTCAGGTGTCATTACTTCAAATTCTTCGTTGGCCTTCTCGTTTTTGTCACAAGTCATCATATGCTCTTGTTGTTCTTTGGAGAAATCCTCACCTATATTAGAGTCACCAAACGATTTATTAATCACATCGTCATCAATTACGTTCTCCAACTTATGCTCTGTTTGGTTAAGACAAAGTAGGTTAGTATCAAGAATATTACGATTAAATAATATAAGTGTTAAGAAAAATATTAATATAATAATATAATAATATATATAAGTAATATGATAAGTGTTAGTTTTTGTTCAGTTGCCTTACCGAGATCTGAAGTCTTTTCAATCAGATGATCCTCCTGGAAAACTGTTTCGTTAGCGACTACTTCAACTTGATTTTCTGTAGTGGAAACAGTATTCTCAGCTTCATCTTCGATCATCACTTCAACTTCCGGGATGTTCTCGCATTCGGCTTGTAGAAGCTCAACGACATTCGTTCCATTCAAACTCAATCGAACCTGCATCGGATCGTTCTTATCAAGAGTCTCGAACTGGAACATCGTTGCTCCTTCGGCGGCAAGTTCTTTAAACTTGTCGCAAGCTCGTTCACTCCATACAGCTACGTCATGGGGTTTCTCCAGGGAGCATCGTTTTGACAGACTGGGAATATTAACAATATCCTGTGGTAACACTCGCAGCTCATCCGTAACCGCAGAATTGCCGTAGTCCATATAAAGAACTTCTGTGCTCTCTTCACAGCACGCGAGTACCTTTGCTCTGTACCAACATTCATCTTCGGGATATAGAGCGGCGCAAACCGTACCGACGTCGAATGAATTCAGCGTGACAAAACTCTGTGCATCTCGTAGACGATATGACATTACCTCCAGTTCGTTTATGCTGCTCTCCGCTTGGATCCAGAACTCATCTGGGCTGTTAATGTGACTGACCACCACATTCGGCGAGTTTTCTTCGCCGAGTGGCGGTAGCCTCTCCTCGATAACTGGCGAATGTTGTTCGCACAAGCTCGCCAGGATGTCAGCTATGTTCTCGTTGTCCAATGTCAGCTTCACTATTGACGTCTCTTGCTCTTTTATTACGTCCAAAATGAAGATTGTTGCACCTTCTGCGGCTAATTCAATAAACTTATTGCAAGCTTCTTCCGACCACTTCTCCACGTGCGATGGTAGCTCTAAGGAACATTTTCGTGACAGAGACGGTACGTCCGCTAGATCTTCTGGAAGAGCACGAATCTCAGTAGACACGGAGGAATTTCCATAGTCTACGAATATGACTTGGGTTCCGTTGTCGTCGTTTGATAGCACGCGCGCCCTGTACCACTGCGAGTCTTCGGGATATTTGGCAACGCACAATAAGCCTTCCTCCACGACATCTATTTTCGGAAACATATCCGCTACCATAAATCTGTCAGTCATCACTTCCAAATCGGCAACTGATTTCTCTTCTTGAACCCAGAACTCGCTTGGTGAATTAATGTGGGATACAAAGGCGGAATGTGGATCCAACTCAATGTCGACTATCTCCTCGTCCACAAGTTCAGCTTGCTCGGGACTAACTATAATAGCGTGTTTCTCTTCGACCAATATCTCGCTAACGCTCTTGTTGTCTATGAAGAGTTCTACGCGTTTTGGCATGGTGTCCGCCACTATTGTAGCCTGGAGAGTATCAACTGACATCACCAATTCCCCGAACCTGTCGCAAGTTGCTTGGCTCCAATCCTCCGTACCTACTGGAATGACGTCGAGCTTACACTTGACTGCGTATCCTTTGATATTTTTCCAGGTGTCTGGCAATTGTCGAATGTGACCAGCCTTATCGATTACATCGGTATTGCCATAGTCTATGAAACGAACGGTCGTGATGTCCTCATCTGCGTCCAACACCTCTGCGCGATACCAGTTTTCGTCGAATAAGTAAATAGCGGCGCATAAAGTGCCCTCTTCCGGTATACTGTCTATCGCCGGGAAATTAGTAACTTCCAGCTGAAGTTTATCTTGGATCTCGGTGAGGGCTGCGTTTTCGTTTACTCGTTGTAACCAGAATTGATTCGGAGAATCGACGTGAGACACGTATACATCAAATTGTCCAGTTGTCGGCGTTTCTTGTGTCTGGGACACCGATTGCGGAGTTATTTCTTCCTCTTTTATTAGATTCAACGAACGGAATCTATCACTGAGCTTTTCATTATTCTCGGTCAAGTCGACGATCCATTTGTTGCGCACGTTATAGAAGACAGCCATAAGTTCTTTGTTTATTAGATGAGTCTGCAGTACGTTTATTTGCTCAGCTTCAGTACCCACAAGGACCAAAGATAACGATGCATTTACCGCTAATTGATGTGGTTCATAAAACTGTGGTTCCAAAACCATGATAGACTCAAACGCGACCTGTTCCGTATTGCCTATGTCGATGTAATGAACGTAGGCCGTCGTTTCGGTGCAGCTGACAATCTTTCCTCTATACCAACGATCGTCTGTACTTTTAACTGCACACAAGAGATCCGGTTCTGGTTTTAGTCTTTGTCCGGAATTGGAGTAGTACCGTTCAAGATCTGTCAATAACTTGATGTCGGCTTCATAGTCAGAATATCGTTGCAACCAGATACTGATCGAATTATCCTCTAATATTTGAGCACACGATACAGACACTTTATGAGTGGAACTTAGTATAGGCATCGGACAAACAGTTGAGATCTTTTTATCGCTCTCGCTGATATTCATTATACCGCAGCCATGGAGGTCGTACAGTTTTACAATGAGTCTACAAGAACAAGAGGAATTAATACCAAAACTAAAAAAATCACACTAATATTTGGAAGTGCAGAATATAAATTAAGTTAAATTAAATAAATAATAAAAGTGATTGAATAATATAAGATTATAATAAAAATTTACGAACCTACTATCGTTGATTTCTGCGACATAAACAAGAACTTCCTTTCCTTCAATCAGTCTCTTCAGTTGTTTATCTGCGTCGGGCGATGCTTGCACATTTTGCAGAGAGCATTCCAACGCTTGCTTCTGCATAACTGCGAGTGCTCCAGGTAGAGTCAGAGCCTGGATCATTGTATTTTTATATTAAAGACAACAATCAAAATCAGGAGTTTTCGATTAGCGCATCATAATCTCATGTTACCGCACGATGTATGGTATCAATTCGCAATTTGGTCAATTGAACTTTTCAGTGGAACTTGTAAAAGTCTTCGTAATATCTAACTAAACTCACATCATCCAGGATTTCATCGTACGCCCCGGTATCAATGAGCTTTACGTCATATGATCCGACGAGGCGCGAACTGTTAATCACTACTGCTCGTCTCCATGTTCCATTTGCATTGACTAGACAACCCGCGCCAAGACACATCTCGCGGCTTGATAGTCGCGGCATCACCTGATATTATATCATACTTCTCCTTATAATTCACTTAAATTCATGCGTCTAACCGTACGTTAGGCTGATCTAGCAATGCGTATGCCGTTTCTCTCCTTGCCATTCTATATTTTGTTTTACCGATATCTTGTATAATTTCACTACTAATTTCGATATTACATTCCTAATATGTTATTTCTACTTATATTTTTATATATAAGACTATTATATAATGTAAAAACTGCATAATGTGGTAAAAAATGAGGTAATCTAAATTTTAAATTCAAAAATAGTACAATCATATAAATTGTAACAAAAAAATATTTTTATAATATATTAGATTTTTAGATTACACAGATGTATCAAATAAGAATAGCAAGGTATAAAATATTTAAATGTTATGTTACTGTTATTTCAGGAAATTTAAATATTACAATGGCAATGGAACATTTATGAGAGGGTATGATTATAATGTTATAATCAATTATTTAGCGGTTAATACCATACATATCGTGCAAAATGAGATTAAGACATTTTATAGGATAAAAATTAAATATTGTTAGAATTTTAAAAGAGTACGATTCATGTTGGAATCACATTATCATAAATTGTTATATGATCCAAGTCAGATTTATATGTTAGTTTATATGTTATCCAAATATATTAAAAGTTCCTGTATAAAAATTTAGATAAAATAATTTTTTCCACCACCATATATATTGACTTTATATGATAAATATTTAAGAAAATTTTGTGCAATAATAATTTTAAATTTGCTTGGATCAAAAGATTAATATTAAGAGTTTATGAACATACGATATTTGTTATATTTATTAAATGACGATATATATCAGATATGAAACAGTTAACAGCTTGTTATAAAAACGAGCCGTTAGTTTATCTCTATTAGAGAATAGGAAATTCTTCTATCAATTCTCTCCGTAATGCTTATTAATAACGTATTTTACATGACTCGCATATATGATTTGCAGCTAATTATGATGCGTTTATGCTAATTACCTCTGCATTTTTGTCTGCCATGTATTTTTCGACGATATGTTCACATTTTGAAGCTGATGGAAGCTGAACGTGAAAACGGTTTGTACTTTCTACACTAGAAACTTTCATTTTTAGTGTTTGGCCGCTCAAGAGACTTATATCTACTCGTTCTATTTCATGGAGCGTCGTTACTTTTACATTAGATGTATCTGGAGCTACTAAAAATGAAAAACATAAAAAGAGAGTTTTTGTAATATATTTTTTAATTACCTCTCTAAATATATCTATCACAAATATATAATTTCGATTGTGTAAATAACACTATCGTATATTATAAATGATCCTTACCACTAGCTGCTTCAGTTGAAGTTATTGCTTCTGTTGATTGAAGTTCTTCAGCAAAGACTGCAAGATTTTTCTTTACTAATGTTCCACCTACGTCTTGTCCATTGTAGTTCAGTGAAATCGTGTATTGATCATCATCAAGACTATGGAAGGTACATTCGTACTTATCACCATCGAAACATTTATCGAGTGCATCGTTGTTAACATCAGACCAGTTCAAATTCTTATTGGGTATAATGTTTTTCAAGGTACATTGTGCTGCTAACATAGGTAATTGCATGAACCTCTTTTCTACGGGATAAATATTGTGCTGTTTTACGGTCGCACAATTTCCAAAATCTATATATTGAACTATATATCCCTTTTGTGCACTGTTGCTTACAACTTCCGCTCGATAAAGAGCTTTATCCTCGGAAAATATTGCGATGATCGGTGAACCAACCTGCATATAATAATTATATTAATTTCGTTCGTTGTGCCTATTGTTACCTTTAAGTAAAAGTAATTACCTCTAGTTTATTCTTTATAGGTTCTCTGCTTGCATATGTCTTTTGAATCTCATTCATCATCGTCTTGAATTCTGTTTCTTGAGCCAATGTTTGGCAATAAAATTTATTAGGATTTATAAACCATGTAACAATTACATCATGTTTAGATTCAGGTTCATATAAAGCAGTTTGCCACTTCGAATCGAGAGGAGCATAATCGGAAACTACATGTACTTTTCTCGTTGTATTAGGTTTTCTTTTATTCAACGCAGTCTCTTTCACCTTTGTTAAATCTGCGCTTGTGCAAAATTCTTCGTTTATGTAACAAGTGTTTGACACACCTTCGACTATCTCGCGCAGTAGTACTTCATATATCCCATTTTCTTCGGTGATAAATTCCACTTCCAACGATTTTCCTTCAGTTTTTTCCACGAAAGTCGCATATTCCACTTCTTTATTGTCCGCCAACCCAAGCAATTTACATTGTACCGCCTGCATCGGTAGTTTTACAAATTCTTCTTGAATGACTTTGATTTTTATAAAATTGACCAACTCACTGTTGCCATAATCAATAAACTTCACAGTTGCGTTATTTCCCTCTACAGACTGAATCATCGCTCTATACCACTTCAAATCCTCCTCGTATTGAGCAACGCAACACGTGCCACATTTTATTTTGAAAGCTTGCATCGTTTCTCCATCTTTTTCGTAAGTTTCGGCAATACTGTCCATAATTGATTCTAATTCCAAACATTCAGGACTTAACTGAATAAAGAAATCTGACGGGCTATTAGTAAATACTATTTCACAATTCTTCACAGTCCCTAAAGTAATATTCATCGATGCAAATTGAGATCCTTTATTAGCTGCAACTTTGCTTTGTAGTTTTGTACTAGCATTATTTGAATCCCAAGATTCGTTATTATTTACCTATAAACGATAATATATGCGAATGTCAAAATAAAGTACATATACGTGTGATTATAACAATATCAATAATTTTTAATCTTTGATTACCTGATTATACGAGATGTTGTTTGCATTATTCTCTTTATTTTTGAAATTATTGCCGCCCATGGTATAATTACCTAGATTGAATAAAATTAATACAATTAAAATATATTTTGAACAAGTAAATTTTATGTGTTAAATAATGTTTAAGTTACCGTTGACTCTTCCACTTCTATCATGACTAGGCCTATCGTTGTTTCTATCGTTCCATTTTGTAGTTTGCAGTCTGGTAGATGCTCCGTTGTCACGCTTTTCTCCTCGAGCATTACGATTAAAACCTTTTCCACGATTATCGTTACTTTTGGACGAAGTATCAGAATCTTTGTCGCTCAATGTTTTATCGTTAGAATTGTTACGATTAAATCTTGACTCGTTTATGGGAAATCTGTTTTTATCACTTCGAAAGCCTTCTCTACTATTTTTGTTAGGAGTATCCATTTCAGTTCTATCATATTTGTTATACGATCTTCCTGATCTGTTTGTGGTTTCGTCTTTGACGAAACGGTCATTCTGCGAATTATCACGTTGGAAATGAGAAGCGCTTCGCTCACGTCTGTTATCATATTGTTTCTCTGTAGACCATTCACTATTTACAGTCTGTTTTTCTTTCCAAACCTTTGGTCTGTTCTCTTGGGAGAACTTGGCATTCTGATTACGATTCCAAGAATCTGCATTACTTTTTTTGTTATACTTGTCTTTATCATCACTGTAAAGAGAAATGAGACTGTTGAAGTAGTGTTATTTCAAATAATCTCATAGGAAAATGTATGCAGTAATATTAGAAACAATCGTTCAACTAAACGAATATTCATTTACAACATATATACATGCAAAGAGAGAATATATCGAAAATATATAAATGTTAAAAATTAATATAATTATCTCCTGCATTCAACATATAAAAAATAATCTTTATATAATCTACGAATATATATTTTATATGTAACAAGATTTTATAGCAATAAAATGTAATTACATATAATTACAATTGTTATAGAAAAGAACATTTTTTAAAAATTAATTGAATATACTACATAAATAAATGGTATATAAAGACACACACACCACGCACACACACACAATTGAGATTTAAATATAGAATACGCAAATTAATACATTTACAAATTAATTTTTTTTCAGTTAAATCCTCTTATGTATACTAAAAGGCTAGAAAAGCATTCCTCTATCTTTCTGTTTGTTTACCGTGCGGTGTTAATATTTTTCAGTTTTAATCTCAGTCGGTGAGCCAAATTTGCTTGAACATTCGTACCAGACCTGTGATGCAATAAATTGCACCTACATTGAGTCATCATACAAATGTTACAATGAATTGTTAAAAGACATCTGTTTTATATTATTTTTAGCAAATATAGTAATAACGATATTAATATTAAAAACATTTGTTACCTCTGAATATCATGTGAATTAGATGTCTTTGCATGTTGAATTTCTCCATTTTGCGAACTTGTAGAGTTTTCCGCTGTCTTGTCGCAAAATGGATTGTTAAATAGCTGAGGATGAATGCTCCTCATTGTATCTAACTCAAATAAATCAACTAATAGATTGTTGGGCTGTGAAGCGACTACTTTCATGAAGAAATTTTTCTCGTATGTCAATGTTTCAAAATGATTAATAACCTCTTGATCTGGCGAGAGTACTTCATAGCCATTCAATGCACACTTTATAGCTTGTGCCGGCAATTTTGTCACTAAATCATCATGTATCGTACGTAGTGACATTATGGACAGTGTCTCCTCGTTTCCATAGTCAACATACACTACTCTGACTTCATTTCCATTAACGCTAACAATTTGTGCACGATACCTAGACAAATCAAATCCAAGACGATTAATAATTATCATCTTACTTAAGATGATAGCAATAGCAGAAAATATTACGAAATTTACCATTCTGATTCATATAATGCAGCACAGGGTAATCCAGCTTTTAATTGTGATATGTTAAAAGCAGATGCGGTTTTAGCATATTGTGCCAGGCCAGCCATTATTGATTGGAGAGATTTTTCTCCACTAAGAAGTTGCACGAAAAATTTTTGACATGATTCCACGAATGAAACTTGCACAATTTCCTGAACATCCTTCGGCAATCGTCGTAATTGCGGATAAGAATATGTTATTGGGACTGCAGCTGGTACTGGAAATGCTTTCTTGAGCATGTCCTTTATATTAACGCCATTATCATAAAGATCACCATATTGGATCAAAGGTGGCCCTTCCGGTGGACGGACTTGTAAATAGAGTAACTTTCTTGACACTAATTTTTTAAAATAGTCTTTCATCTCTTGCGTAATGTTCAGTTCTTTTAGGCCACTCAACGTGAATCTAATGGAAAGAACTTTGGGATTGATGAATTCGGGGGGTAATTGAAAGATGTCTGTGTACGGTAAAACCTCCGTGTGACCGAAATCGACGTAATATAGTTTGCACTTGTGTTCCATTACGGACATTACGACCGCTCTGCATAGTATTCTACCCTCCGTGTATCCCAGACAAACCGATCCTGGCAATGGCGGTTCTTGCAATGGTTTCTTTGGACGGTTGTTTATCTCTTTCATAAGATGGGTCAGTATTTCCGTCGTACTTTGAACTTGCACGGAGAACTTCTGCGGGCCGTCTTCCACGCATGATACCAATACTTCGTGCATGGTACCTACATCCAAAACTCGAGATTTAAATACAAGTGCTTCTTGAACAGTTGTTGGTGGCGATAGTTGAGAAGCAATGTATTTGGGTTGAGTTACACCAGGAGGAGTCTTGCGGTACATTGCTTGCATATTAGTATTCTGATTCATGTTTGCATTCTGCATCATTGATGCAAAATTATTCATGTTGCCTTCATTCTGTTGCTGATACACTGGTGCTTGTAGCATCTCTGGTTGTGGAAAAGACTTTATTCTAAATAACAAAAAAAAATTAAAAAATTATGTAATATGAATAAAATAAAAGGGAAACTTTAAGGAGTTTATTCACCATATGTATGTATTTTCAGGATGTTCAATGAACATGTTTTCAGTAGTGCATCAAGGTAGCTACTTATAAGTACACTTTATCAAACAAATTTACATTTTTATATATATCACTATCTAAATAGTAAATGTTAAATATGACACTAATTTTATGATACTATTTTGCTACATTTTATTTAATACAATGCTATTCGAAGCATAAAACAGCAGTTTTCTGCCCTACAGTCGACCATCACACAAAAATGATGTAGCAAATACTATTCTTTCTTGTATTTTTTTTATATCTATGTTTCCTAAAATATATAACATTTGTAATGGAAAACTCTTATTTACACAGTGTTACTTTTTATGAAATTACACTGAAATAATGATCATTTATATTAATTTTACCATAAGATTATATATGCAAAATTACGATATTCAGTATGAAATTTCTCATGAATGGTGTACACAAATGACATGAAACTTTAACTATAAATGTGTTTTACTGTTATAAAAAGTTACGTTAAATTTTTATATAATTTATTTGATTTAAAGGAATAAACCCCTTAAGAATGTATATATCGTTAAATCACAAAAGTAAGATAAAGAATTCACACTTTAGCAGGAAAGTAGAAGCCAATTTTAGAACTCACATTGGTGGTCAAGTGATAGTTGACAGTTCTTGCTTTTCTACAAACACAAATTCTGATTGGTTTCTGCTTTTTTGCCAAAGTGTGATTCTTCCTAAAAGTAAGATATGATACCTGCAAGTGTCTTGCATATTAGCTGGTAAGGCTAAGTTGCGTTTGACCAATAGATTGCTGAAGTCTTCATTATTGTACCACAGTTTCACGATCAAACGATTATTTGCTACATTATTCACCAGAACTCTATATTCATTGTAACACAGGATACTTTTGATTGTCTCTATTATTTGATTTTCCCAAACACCATTTACAGGCAATACATTAAGCAATATAAAGTCAGCAGCCAATGCTGGGTAAGTCAATAGAGGTTCTGACCCAGGTATATTGTTCAGCAAATGTACATGGTTTGGTGACACAATTTCTATATTGCCATAATCAATGAATTGCACAGCTATCATACTATCACGACGCACATCGATTATCTTTGCCCGATAATAGCCATCGTTTCTAAATCTACTGCAGCACAGAGCACCAATGATTGGTGGATTAGATTTGGAAGGACAGCCATAACCTTGAGAAAATTGCTCAACCAGTGGGCGAATGAAACGGTCCACACATGTGGCAGCATGGGTATCCTGCTGGGCCCAGATTTTCAAGCAATCCCGGTCACTCTCGATGTGGGTGATGAAGAGCGCGATTTCAACAGTGTGTGACTGCATGTTGTCTCTATGATGAGACATTCTAATTTGTTTTGCTCACTTTTCTTGATTAAACGATTTTGCTTTTCAGTATGATGATACTGCAATTACTTCTTTCCTACTTTTAGATCTTCTTCATTGATCTGCAAAACATATAAAAAAACGTTTATTCCAAGTATTTTATATTTTTTCTATTTTATATTCTGCGTTTTTTAGCTTCAAAAGTACCAGTCTAAAATTATCTACTGATAATTTACGATTGCGCGAGCACAAGTTACGTAGCCAGAGAATAATACAGCGTTCAAATATCGCGTCGTGTCGAGGTGACGAACTGCGAATAACATAAAATTCCATGCGTAATTCCATGCTCGGCACAATGTGTTTCTTTACACACTCACTATGTATCGTAGCGTAATCGCGATTCTTAATGTACTTGTTCATTCCGCATTTCTCGGCGAAAATCGTGTTAATTACCGAACTGTGTAACACTTCTCGTCCTTCGCATTGACCGTTTGTTCCGAGAATGTTTCGCACAATACACACACATACCAATTAACGTATACAAGATATCTCTGATGCCGCAAGAATATTGCCAAGATGAACGGGACGTGGAGTTTCTCTAAAGTAGGTTTCACGCGGCGTTGTCATACGAAACCCGACATATTTTTCACTTACTTACTCTTTTTTTCGAGTTCTTGCACTGTTCATCGCCGTTTATGACGCTAGCCCGTTGCACCACGTACGCTTCAAAAATCGCACTACTTTCGGCGTTGGTCCTTTGTTCAACGGAAAGGTCCTTTTATCACGTTCATCTAAACTTGTCCACGCATCAAAAGCGCGCTTATTTCAAATGCCGTTTAAGACAATTTGGACTCGTCTTTATCTTTCGTACTAATAAGTAGAATATGTTAATCAGTTAAAAAACGAATTTTAATGTTTCCGTATTATGTAATAGAGTTCATTTGGCGAGAATTTAACAAATGCAGAATTTTTAATAAGAAAATTATATATTATTACTATAAAAAGTTGCTTTCTAATTCTGTTTTACAGTTTACTTTGATTTATTTTATGCATTAAAATTTATTATAAAGTTCATAGAAAGACACGTATTGAAATTGTTTCTAAAGTCTATTCTACTTGAGGTATATTTGTATATTTGTATGCAAAAGAAAAGATTATATCATTAAACAGTTTTGTACTTTAAACATACTAGAGAATAAATAGTTAAAGTATCGTATTTACATATATTATAAATCTTTACTAAAAATCATACAATATTGTAAAAAAGAAGTATTTGATAGGTTATTTTTTTCTCCTAATGGTGAAAATAATCAACCAAATTGATTTGACAGATTAGATATTATTTAAGTTAAACATAATCATTACTTACTTGATTTTTACTTGTTTTCAATAGTGTATATCTTCATATGTTTGAACTTACAAATATATCCCTGTATAAGCTTCTATTTCAAGGATAATAATAAACTGCATTGGCTTGTCGACGACGTTTCTTTTATTTTTATGTGCAATACAAGAAAGACGAAGATAACTCCAGAGTTCTGAACATCGAGAATTACAGAGTTCACTTAAAGCCAGTAATCACTGATTATTGTGTATTGCACTCAATCTTGTCATAAGAATAAATGTTTTCGTTTTTTCGTTATACTTTTCTCTACGCGCCTTTATGGCATGAACACATTTTTATTAGAAACTTTAATGTGTCTGAACGACTGTAGTACTCCAATCTTATTTTACACTATTTTTTTTCTCATTACGTATATAACGTAATAACTCTCAAAATAAGTCGAAGTTTTAAGTACATTAATTATTCTCCATAAAAACAAATAATTATATATATATATATATATATATATATATATATATATATATATATATATAATAAATTATAAGGTAAATTATATGTAGATTTACTTTTGCCAATCATCAAGGGAACGCTCATTCACTACACATTATCACAACGATATTAATCTCTTATCAAAAATCAAATATAATTAGAGACTTTTAAAAGCAGAAAAAGGAAGGATTACTTACTTATTGAATAAAAATAACGATTCAAGTTGAAAGACTTAATTGTACATGAATTCTCGTACGTCTTATAGTTGAGCAATGCTGTACGCTAGATCAATAAAGTTTGTACATTGTCGCGTCCATAGCAAACGTAATATCGCGTATATGTGTGTAGTATACTATCTTGTTGAGTCGAACGCTTGTAACATCACGATGAAGAGTTTGAGAACAAGACGGAGATTCTTAAACACGATTATCATTGTCTGTGACGAATATGCTTTTAACGTTTGTAGCTATGAGAGAGCGGCGTGATCCGGAATCGCTACATCCTCCGTATCTTCTTCGTTATCACTGCTCAGAGATAAATGCTCTCTTAAAACAAGTGAGCGCATTTGTTCCAGAACTTGATGCAAGGATTCCGATCTCTGATCTATCCTGTCGTTCAGAGGTGTTGCGTCGCCGCTCGCTGTCCCACCTGCAGGTGTCTGCGGTGTATTGCTAGGTGGTATCGGGGTATTTGTTCCATCTCCTGTACCTGTAATTACAAAATTCTTTATATTCGATAAAAAATGTATAGTCACGATCTTTACATTTCCGACGAATTTTAAGATTAATTATGACATTTTAATGATGATTAATAATGATAAAATTACGGAGTAATTTTATCATTTATAGTATCATTTCGTACCCATACTATCGCTCGCGGGACTAGCTGGACGTTCCGCGCCTCTTATTTCTCTTACAATCTCCTCGTCTTGCACGTTAAGCCGTAACCCGGCAACTCCTTTCCTTGGAACATTATACAGATCTCTTTTGATTCTTCTTCGTCTAGAAGGATCGTTTCTGCGTAACTGTAGCATAGAGCCGAAATCGGCGATGTAAAGAAATCCTGCAATTAGCAGCTCGCAATTTCTTCTGCCTTGCTTATATGCCGTTTCTAATTCGATACTCGTTCGTTCGTCGTATTGCCACCAACCTGCAAGAATTCATTTAAAAATCACACGTTTCACACATTTCGTGGCGGAAACAGCAGATCAAATGCCTCTTATTTGTAAAAATAACTTAAAAAATAAAAAATAATAATAAATAAAATCATAGTCGGGAAAATACAGAAAAGATATTTTATATGTAGAATACAATTTTATTATGTGAAGATATATGCATATTTTTTCTATATTAGAATATTATATTATTTATGTAGTACATTATGTTGTAGCAGTTATTCCATCAGTAATGACTTAAATCCAATTTTTGCACAAGGCACTTTTAATATATAAGCATTCCTCTCACGCTTCTACAAATCTATAAATATATAATATTTTAACTTCTGTGATGCTTTTGAATTGTAATTATTAGGATATTGTAATGTAACATAAATGTGGTGTAATATACTAATATATGCTAATTTACACACTGATATAGAGATATCCATGCTCAACACATTATGTCGTCAATTATCAATTTGGCTTTGTCACTAGAGCTTTTATTTCATTAGATAGTAGTTATTCATATTATATCACACAAATGTTATGATACACCCGAGACACCCTTGCATGGAGCATCTTTGTTATCGCGTTTTATATTGCGTTTATAACGTGGATTATTCTTTCTATATTGACACTTGTTCTCAAAGTCAATTACATAAAGCATGCCACAGATCAAAAGTTCGCATTGTGCATCCCCTAGTTTGTAAATAGTCTCCAGATCTTTGTTTGTCCTTGGATCATATTTCCACCAACCTAAGAAGGGGTAGGATATCAACTAATGTGCATCCATATATAAATGTTTTTAAAACACTGCAAATTACTGCTAATGGAAAACGTATGCACATGCATATAATGCTAGAATATTTGTGAACATTTAATTATTTTTAAAGAAATATATAAACATGAAAGTATTTTAAACAATGATCATGAACTTTAAATGTTGATCACAAAATATAATTATTGATTAAAATAATACTTTACCATTTCGACCTTCATAAAACCACTGGTACTCTTCTTCTGAATGTTCTGACTCTTTTTGTGTCTCTTCAACTTCTACCAATTGAGGTCTCTCAAGGAAATCTGGTGGAATCTCTTGACGGCACATTGGACAACGTTTACTTTGATTCGCAACACCCTTTACACACAAGTAGCAATATATGTGACTACAGGGTAATCTTGCTGGGTGAATACAAGGCTGTAAACATACTGCACATTCTGGCACAGTAGTACAACCTAAAAGAACAAGAGAACAGAGTTATAAATCTTTATATATATGATTAAAACTGAAATAAACAGCAAATAGTAAATCATTACCTAAATATAATTATTATCTAAAGTGAATAAATGATTTATTGTCTGAAGTGATCCCATTATATCACATGTAAACAGTCATATTTAACCTTATAATTTATACACATATATACACAATCGGATTTGTTATAAAAACTTACCTTCTTTTTCTTCAGTATCTTTGTCCTTTTCTTTAAGAGTACCACCGGATTTCTCCGGTACATTGAGTTTTGCTTGTGCCATCGTGCGATTTTTTAACTGATTACCGTTTCATCAATACGTAATCTTCAATTTAACTTATAAACACGCGTCTTGTCAATAGGCGCCACTCACTATAGTCGACCATATTGCTTGTTTATGGCGTGCCTGGGATTCTCAACCTGCAACAGTTCACAGGTTTAGTGTGATATTTCTCGCACTATTCTTCGATAATTTAACTGTTTGAAAAGACTCACTTATAGCATTGAGTTGACAAGATTTGATAATTGTTAGATAATTATAAAGTATACTGTTATTGTATGTCACTTTCTCTAATCTTATCTTATCTAACGTCTAACTTCGATAAATTGCTTCAGGCGCTTTCCTAGGAATACTGCCTCAACGCCATGACACTATCCATTTTATCTAGCGTTTTTTAATAATTAAGACATCGATAGATATCGATAGATATCGCTGGCGTGCAGAATGCGATAACGATTGGTCGCGCATGCGTCGTTTCTCGAGTGAAGTTGTCCGCGTCTTCTCAATTTCAAACGCAATATTGCGATTCTCGAGTTGTTAAAGGATAAATTCACGAGATAAGATTTGGTCGCGTGCATTCAGGATGCTCATAATGATATTCCGTTTTTGATAGTTATTTGTCGGTTTTTGTAGGATCTTTGGTATACAAAGGAAGTGGAATACGTGACGACCGATGTGAGTATAGCATAATTACTTGAAGAAGAAAGTAATTATTTCATATATAAGAATACAATACTCTAAACGACCTCTAAACGACCTTTTCTCATTGTCATGTTAAAAATTCAAGTACATTTTTCAATCTGTTTTTTTTTTACATATTGCTTAAAATATTGCTTGTTTTCTATCCTTCTTCGTCAATAAATTATATATGGTGAGTATAACTTTTTGTCTATCAACAGCTTTTTGAGAAGCCTGCTTTCAACAAGTCCTGAATCAAATCTGTGGCAATGGTAGGAAGTATAGTTTAGTCATCTCCAGCAAAGCAGATATGCATATATAGGCCAAGATATGTTCAACAGTACTGTAAGTGAGGAACAAGCACATGCATGAGTTTTGTTAAAAATCTTTATTCGTACAACTGATTATTAAATATTGCACCCTTATGTGGTGGTCCTTTTCTCATCATAGCAATTAGCTTTTTTATTCTATCTTTGTATGTCATGTGCATTAAAGCTATTTGGTACATTTATTTACATAGAGATTTCTTTTATTGTGTCAACGAAGGATATTGAGCTGTATGTTTAACTGTATAAGGTTCATTGACACCAATTGAGTGGTGAGTTAACTGACACTTAAAACATGCATCTGTTTTTGTTTATTTTGAAAGAAAAATTTGGACAAACATGATTTAATTGTTAGTTAGCTTATTAGCTTATTAGTTGGTTGGAACTAGGCCTAGGTGAAAATCCAGTATTGACACCAACTAATGGTAATATTGCCTATGTTCAGCAGACAAAGCTGCTCTGCAACTATTGTAAAATTTTCCAGCAACCAAGATGACATCAAATAATGTCTTAATGTATTATTGACGTTTCTAATGTCAATAATCATTTGACGTCATCTTGTTTGCTGGGTTATGAATTTAATTGTAATATGCTCTTATTCTTAGTTGAATCTAAGAGTATATACTAATTAGATTCATAAATTGTGTAATGGTTGCAAAGAATTTTCTCTGCTGAACGCATCTATTATATCAATGTTATAATTTCCTACTTAACAATATAAGTGCAATATAATATATGTTATATGAAGATAAGTTACATTATTGAATGAGAATTGATAGTTACATTATTGAATGGGAACTTATAAAATTGATATAATATTATTGTTAGTGTTTACTGGGAAGATATATTTCTTAAATATTATAGGAAAATTTGAGTAAACATACCAGACAGCATTAATGCTTTGCATATACAAGGCAGTCATACGTGATAACTTAAAAATATATATCAATCACGACTCTATGCAGAGAAATTTATTAACCCTTGACTAGGATAAAGAATAGATGTTATAACTTAACTTGAAACTTAATGTCGTGTTCACAAATTACTTAATCATCGAGTTAATCTTGTTTGGGATTAATAATATTTTAAAGGATAAGAAAACGGAAGTTATATATTTTTTGTATTCTTTAAAAACGCGAAAAAAATATTACATAAACTTGAGGTTTTTATGACATAATGTGTATGAGGAGAGGAAATAATTACCCTACATACTTACAAAGAATTATTTTTACAAGCACTATTATCAAATTGTATTGAAACAAAACACTTGAGCACGACAGTTTTTTATGTCTATTGTTGGCAAAAAGAAAAATATCGAGTTTGTCACAATTACTAATTATCTTTTGTTAAGCTCATTATCACGTCTAAGATCATCCTTATTAGCAAGTATGATGCGTCGTCGCGGATGAAATTCACCGATCGTGATTTTGGTCTAAGCGAATCTTGATGAAACTGTGGACTATTAACACGAGCCTTTCGAGAAACGGATGACTCTGTAATAATGAGAGATGAATTGAAATCGGAAAATTTCGAATGTGTTAAGTGCAAAAAGAAATATTAAATAGATGTATCTTTTAAACGTGTTTCCTCCTAATAAATAAATGAATCTGCTCTGGTATGTGTAAAATTATCCTGTGAGTGAAATTTATCGATTTGGCACTCAACACGTTCGAGACTTTTCGTTCTCGATCGGGGGATGCGACTCGTCGTTTTCCCGAGGACTTTCGCGCGATCCTTTAGGATAAAGTACGAACGATCCACGATCAATCCAACGACAGCACCGATTCGATAGAAGATCTATTCCTCGGTGGTAATCTCGGACCACCAAGATAACTCAGTGGATTGCCGAACGTGCGTTGACCATCCGGCAGAAAGATGGGAAACAGATTGAAGATCATCGGCTTGTTTCGTTCTAAAAAGTTAACAAAATAATCTTCGTAATTAAGCCTATCTTCAATTAAACTTGCGCGCGCGTGTGTGTGTGTGTGTGTGTGTATATATAAGTACAGAGGAAAATTCTTACGACCAAGAAATATATATTTTTTTAAATTTTAATTTAGATTTTTCAGTATTTGCGATTATTAAAAAACAGAATAAATTATTATCTTTTAAGCCAGTAAATTAACGAAATATATCAATTAAGAGATTCATAACATTCAATACAGTTATGAAGTTATGATGGAATAACAAAATTTTCGTAGTAGCTTGTTTTAAGAGAAATTGTCCAATTGTTTTTTATAAAAGATATTAAATTAGACGTGATCAATATTAATTGACAATTTGAATATTTCACATAATATGCTGAGTATTAACACAAATTATTTTAACATTTATCACGCTGTTATAAATGTATCATTAGAATTTGTCATGTCAAACGATCGTAATGTTTCTTTTCGTTTGTCTTGATATCGTATTACTGACCTGAGATGGAGTTTCCTTGTGTCTTTGATTGTTGTCCAGTGTCTCTATCCGTAGGCGCCTAAATAGAGTAAAAAATTATTGAAAGTTTCTCAATCTCTCGTCGTAATTTATGCGGCGTATTGCAGTGAGTGAAGGCATTGACTTTCAAGGCGAAAGGAAAAATTCATTTTACGTTTCTTGGTTAGTGCATATATGGGGCAAGCACACTTCGTATAGGTTTGCTTTATAAAGATCAGATTTCCTGGCTCAAAGCGTGCGTGTGATGAGGCGATGTTTCTTGTGCCATCAACGATGTCTTTGTTGAATATGTTTAGGTCGAGGATTAAATTAACCTGGGAATGATTGCACCGCTTATAAGTATTTCACATCAGACATTTACTCAGAGAATACTAATACACAAGGATATCAATTCTTTATCTTTTATGGATCTAGAGATAAAAAGATAATTGGATTACTTTCGTTAGAAATTCAATAAAGTTCTCTTGATTAATCAAACGTATATAATAAATTATTATCGGCAAATCATGCACATGCTTGCCTCTGACAAGAGAGAAATCATTTGTCGCACAAAATGCGCTGCTTACATTAATGATTCGCGAATCGTATCTTCAAGTGTAAAATACAATCTGTCAAATTGCCTGTTCATTCCCGGATTAAAATAAAAGAGTTTCATTGTGAAAGAAAGATGGCGAACTTGTGAAAAAGAAGCTTAGTAGCGTGGGAGAGGCGTGAGACACGGCGATGCAACAGACATAAGTCGATGGAAAAAGTCATATATTTCCTCTGTCACACTTCGTACGTGTATAACATGCTATAAAATCTGTTTTGAGACTCGTGGTTTAACGTCTAGCGATTAAGTCACTTCAGAAGAGCATAGCGTCGTTCCGCGGAATGCACCGTAGCGTTTATGTCGTGCAAAAACATTCGAACACACAACGCATCTCTTTCGCAAGCTGTGCTATTGTGAACTGTTGCAGCGTAACGTGCATATTGAAGTATCAAGTGAAGTATTAAATTGTCACAGTCCAATTGCAACAGTCGCCAATAGTCGACTTCGAAATCTAAAATATATGATTATATATAGCGTAATTAAAATAATCTTTTCTGCGTATTGTTAGTTTTTTTACATTCAATTAATTCTCAAACGTTTTGCAGCAAAACGTGGCGATACCAGTAACGCACATAGCACATCTAATTGCATTTGATTCACAATAGCATCGCTGTAAGCGATATCTTGTTAATTGCCAATGCATCCAATGGATCCGAAGCAAACTCAGGTGCATTATACCGTAAATATAAATGCATCCCGCGATTAGAAATCGTGAGAGAAACGAGAGGTTGCGGAGAGCAGGTCAAGATGCGATTATTTCGAACTTAATTATTGTTGATTTTTCGACAACCCGTACCTCTATAATTCAATATTCGACGTTTCTGTTTCATCGGGTTTTAAAATGGAGTCTAACGGTATAACGTTCTCGTCGGCACTCGTCTTAGACCAATTCCTGTGCTGAAAGCATGGCGTCTTGTATTAACGACCGAGTCTAACTTTTCGCGATCGCGCCGGCAATCGCCGAGTGATTCGATTTACGTAAATGCTTCGTGAATTTTTCCGCATGATTACCTTGATCGCCACCAAGAAGCACACAAACGGCACACTTGCTTTGTACAATTGCACGAAGCAGCGAAATCAATTTAAATCAACTCGCAAATGTACATACAGAGTGAACTATACATTTATTATGCGTTCGCATATTAAAAGTATAAATTTTGCGCGTTTTGATACACAAAATTTATGGCATATTCTGCAGACATAATTTTATAATCGGACAATTGAACAGTTCACTCGCGATGTACATCGCGGCGTTTCATAATTTCAAAAACAAGTCTATGCGGTGATTTTGTTGTAGATGTGTGTCGATTGCGTGATATCAGATACAACGGTGTCGAAAAAATATACAGACGGTCGTAATGAATCGACGTATCTCTTGCGAACGAGAATACGTGGCTCGAAAACGCTACTTTACGTCATTCTATCTCGAAACGCTCGTTGTAAAACTTTCGATGCTACTCCCATCGTTATCTTTTCCGTAATTACGGATATTAAACTATTATAGGCACTCTAGAGTCTTAAAATAATATTCTATTTGAGCTATATATATATATATATATATATATAATTTTGTCTAAAGCTAATCAATACTGAAATATACTGACGACATGTTTCATAACAAGACAAACAGACGCTTGATTACGTGCTAATTTTAGTTAAGTACATTATTTTAACGTTTTTCTTTTCTTAAAAATAGCTACTATGAGCCAAATTTTGAAACAAATGAACGTGCCGTGAGAACTTGTACAATTACGTACGTAAAGTATCGTACGTAACGGATGAGATTAATATTGACGCTGTAATTTTGCACGATTTTGTGTTATTAGAAGTATAGAAAGCGTAATTTTGCCGTCCTGTTTTAAACGGAGAATATAATTTTTGTATGATTAACTGAACGACAAAAATGCCCAATTTGCAATTTCACATAAGCTTAAATGAAATATTAGAAAGTACAACATTTCTAATATTTCTCACAAGTGACTGATACAATTAGCCACTTGTGACATTCGGCAGTTTATAAGTACGTAATCTCATCGTATTTTAATTATATTTAACACCTATGTGCCCATAATAAAGTAGCTACAATATATTTTATTCTAAAATTGAAATATGCGCGTTATCTATCGCGTATGATGATTGTCATTTGTGAGCGATTCGATCATTTAATAATAAGTTTTGATTGATCGATCTCGTAATATTGGTTGATAATTTGAAATTTCTTCTTAACTTAAAAATATTTTTAACGAATTATTCGTTAATAAAACTGATAGTAATACTTAATATATTTTATCTCTGCATATCTTACTCATGAATAGTCTTATCAGTTTTATTAAAAAACAATTACAATTTCACATAAATTTAAATGAAATATTAGAAAGTAAAAATTTCTAATATATTTTTCACAAGTGACTGATACAATTAGCCACTTGTGACATTCGGCAGTTTATAAGTACGTTATCTCATCGTATTTTAATTATATTTAACACTTATGTGCTCATAATAGAATGAGTAAATTATAAATATTACGAGATCAATCAATCAAAACTTATTATTATAGGATCTAATCATTTATATATTTAAATATAATCGCTCCGCGCGGTATTTACATAATGATACAAACGTACGATCATTTTGAGCGTATCGATTATTGTCGTCAGTCGATCTAATCATTTAGCCTAGAGATAAATAGAAATCGATAATTTCGTCGAGTTCAAAGATTTTGCTGCCAGAAACGCGCAAAAGTAGCTCTTATTTTCATTTGTAATGGTGAACGCGCGACGATCGACGAAGTTACTTTCACACGTGCTTTACTCTCGTATTGATTTCATCGAAATTCTACCAATTTTGATCCTTAATCCTGAGAGTGATACATGAACACGACGCAGATGTAGCATTTGTGCCTCGTGATTGACTCACTTCGTTAGCAGTCGCTGATCGATCAACCTCGCAGTGACCTTCTCGGGCCGAGCTATTCCGCGCGATTTTTTGAACCTCATCGGCGCGCTCAGATCGAGACTCATCGGTCTCTTTGGCACGTCTCTCGCGGTGTTATTCGTCCTTGATATTATGCGTTCGGTTTTGATTTCGTTGAGGCCTGTCACGGAGAAGTTCGTCTCGAGAAGGGCCTGCGAGTTAACTGGGTCTAGCTCGTCGGTCAATGAAGCTCTCCTTGCCGTATTTCTTACCGGCCTAACGAGAAGTTCGCCGTCTTGATCGTTGCTCTCTTCCTCTTCTTGTTGTTGTTCTTGTGGTTGATCTCTGGATTCATCCACCTCTACTTCTGGCTCTGGCTCCAGCTCTTGCGTTTCTTCTTCCTCCTCCTCTTCCTCGTCTTCTTCCTCGCGTTCTTCCAGCTCTGGCTCCTCTCTCAAATCTTCCATCGACTGTGTGAAAAAAGTAGAATGAACCATGGTTTCTTAGATTATAACGACATTTGAAACATTGTGCTACATTTGTTTAGCATTGCGAAAAAAGCACGATTTTGTAAAAATATGAAAATTATTTCTGAATTTGAACTCAGAATGATAGTGAAAATTTGAAAGCACTGTTGATTGAACCAAGTATTTATACATTTTTTTCATAAAGCAATATCGATGCACTTGTGACGAATTGTGAAATCAGACAAAGCAAGGTGGAAATAGTTTAAAGGAACAACGATTTCGGTTCATTTCTACGCAATGTGTTCAATAAGTCCGTTCAAATGCGTCGTATAATGTACATGAATATCTGTAACTCATGAAACGATAGCGAAACCGGACAGTACATGCAGAAGCTTCACCGCAAGCTCGACAAAGCTCAACATGCATTTTTTTACGAAAAAAAGAAAAAATCTTTACGAATGGATTCGGTTTCGCAGGTTTAGTGACGATGCCTGTATTTACCCCTAGGAGCTCCTTTTTCTCTGGCTCTTCGTCTGCTGCAATGCACACAAAATTACATAACGTTAATTCTCAGGGTACAGCGATAGCTTCTAAGAAAAATAATATGCACTTATAGATTCTCACATATCTTTTATCTTGTAAAATATTCAAGTAAACAGACACAAAATTTTTTTATTTTCAACAAACTTTATACGACGTTGATAAGTCGTATAATTTCAAAAATTATAACAGGGCAGACGTATTTTTTACTGTCCGACTTACATAAGAAAATAAGTTTTACAATTTATAACATTGATTTTTCACGAGAATCTAATAGTAAAACGTTTCTCTTGTTTCGCTATATCAATTTTTCTTCACTTTGCTGCCTACGATTGGGAGATAGAATAGATCAGATTACCCTTTATGTGAACCTTCTTATCGTTCATTAAGTCTTTCGGCTCCGTATTCGGCAGTGGTTTGTATTCCTTCGCGCTCGGCACTTTCATGTGAGTGCCGTTCGGCCTCTTGTCCTCGTCCATTACGTTCTTGAAGCCGACTGTCTTCACGCCGGCGGCGGCTACCAGGGACTCCGTGTACTGCGGTTGCCATCGTTGCGAACCAGAAGCGACCGCGGTGGTCGGTGGTGTTCCCGAAGCCGCGGTGCGACGTCGTTGACGGTCCTTACGTGCGCTTCGCCATACCTCGTAAATGCAGCCGATCACTGCGGCCACGAAGACGCAACATAGGGCTATGAATATGTACGTTCCCGCACCCTGCTCCTCTTGAGTGGCGCCCGAATACTGCGACTTGTACAGGATCTTTTCCGGTGGATCTTCCACCCATGCTCGATCGCGACCCTTTAACAAGTGTTACTTTAATGTCTTCGAGTATGTTCGTAGTGCTGCATACTTGTTTGTCGATATAATAATGTCGAAAAGAATTCTTCTTCGACGATTTTAAACTTCACGTTGGTAACTCGTTAAAAAGTACAGCGATTTTATATTTCGTGAAATATAGATTTCGAAGCACAATGATCTACTTCTGTGTTAGTAAAAGGACTTTAAAAATAATTTATAATATATTTCTTTTCGAAACGTTGATTGAAGCTTTGTGATCAATTATTTAACAATTTATTATAATCCAAAGACTTGGAATTATCATGGAATGAAGAATCAGATAACGTAAGTCCGATCGCGATTCAACGAGACATATTATTTCTGATTTGAAGTGATTCTTACCACGCTGTCGTTTCTAGACGGTTCGAGGCCACGCGGTTGAGCATGAAATACCGCGCATTGGGCACTTCTAACACCAGCGGGTATCGTGGCTCTGACCGTTTCGCTACCCTGTTTCGTAAAGAGCATGTATTCCTCCAACGGCTTCATGCCGGCGCCTCCGTTGATCGATATCACCACGTCTGCGAGAAGAGCATAGTCGTAAATTGAAATTTGTTTAAAACTTCGATCAATTCAACCGTGCAGAGGATATTTACTGCTGAGGCAGCCGGTGTATCCTTTGTAGGCACTAAATCGCGGATCGGTGGTGTTCAATCCGCCTAGCTGAATTTCCGTGGCACCCGGAGTTTCATCCTCGTCCCCTAAACTTAGTATTGGTATCGGCAGCAATGGTACAGGTTCGCGATCGATCTGAAATTACACGAGATTCATTATTATCTCGAGTAGTTCACGATACATGTAAAGATATCGAAGTAAAGACGAGAATCGCGACAAACCAAGAGGGTGGACGTGTTGTTATCTCGAACGTAGTAGACGCTGTGACGTGCACCATTCAGGAAGTTTCGGTCGTTGAGACGCACCCCGTAAGCTGAGCCCTCTCGATCCTCCTCGAAGATGAGCTGTCCCTCGGATGTCAAGGCCACCAGTAAATAGTAGCTCCTTCTGGAAAAAAGTTCCTCGAAAGACATCCAGGACTCCAGGCGTCGATAATAGGTGTGTGTCGGACTGGGTCGGACGTGAGGATTAAGTAAAATATTAAGATCGATGCTTTACTTGTTGTCGGTTTGTACCAGCAGCAACGCGGTAGTTCTCTGTCGTAGTTCATTTGTTGAGAACGCCAGCTGAACCTTCACCTGATTTATCTCGCTTTCTAGTTCAAATTCTCGTTGAAGAACGCTCTCCCCGCTGAAATCCGCACCTTTTTCTGCGACAGATAGTTTTTATCTTAGAGTCGTAGGAGAAACTTTCGCGTTGCTTTGACGAATTTCCGTGAGAAGAAGGACCGAGCTAGGAACCAGAAGATCTTTTGATATGCGATATATTTTTCAATAATGAGTAGTTTCGGAACAACTCACCATCGGCGCAATATTCGCCAAAGTAGGACGTCAATTCGCAATTGCAGGAGGACTCCTGTCTGCCGAAGTCCTCCGTGCAGATTCCCAAATTCTTGCAGGGCATCGCGTCGCATTTCATCTGACAATTCGGCAGAACGCCTTTGCTACCCTCGTGATTCGCCTCGCTGGCTAAATTTGGTAGGTCAACGAGGTATTCGCCTATCATAAGTCCCCTCAAGCAGCCGATGTAACCTTGGATTAAGGCGCCTTCCTTTCCAACTCTTAGTAAATTGTCAGGATCAAATCCTCCTAAATTTACCTAAATCAAAATATCATCATTTTTAAGAGAATAAAATTTACAACGCTTAAAGTTACGGCTAAATACAAAAAAATTTATTTTTCTAATAAACACATGTATCATATCTTCATCACTATTAATTAGTGTAAATTTATATTTTGTATTTAGATCTTTTTTTGTTTTTCAAAGCGTTGCTTGAAATTTTAATTTGAGAAGTAAGAGAGTATATTTTCTACTCGAGGAGACACCTGGAAATAATCAGTTGGCGGTGCCGGCGGTCGTTGCGGTGCTAAAACCTCTTTTTCAGGGTTAGTCCATGGCTTGTTCGAATACGTGTCGAGAAGTATAGGCGTCGCGTTCAGCGTGACGTTATATTCATTAACGTGTAGCGTAGTCCAGTTCTCGCCCCGAATGATAGCGATCTGCACCGAGATTCCCGTGTTGACATCTGACAAAAACGAGTTAGCCCATTCTAAATTCTAATACGCACATCGCGCGCACTCGAATGAATATGGATATTCACGTACTTGGATTCTCCACGGTGATATTCTTGATCTCGTTGCCGGCGTTGAAGAGATACACAATGTTAGTGCCGTTCGAGATGTAGAGATGCACAAAGTTGTTCAGATGATCGTTCGCGTAGAGTATCAGAGAATGCGTATCATAGGTTCTTAAGTTGATCAGGATATTCTCAAGCAGCATGCTCTTCAGCAACATCCTCTCCTCGTTATCGTCCGATCCGAAATAATTTTTCTTTAGGAACGCTCCGGGCGAAGTGAACGTCAGAGCCTTATTGTTGATGTCTAAACTCGAGAGTAGCAGTCAAAATTAGTGAGATTATCAATCAATCATTTATCCCGAAGATCCATCTGCAACGTCATTGACTTACTTGTCTCACAAAAGGTGCCCAAGTGCGCCCACTGATTCTCGCACACGCATTCGAAGTTACTCCACAGCTCCACGCACCTAGCACCGTTCTGACACTTGTTAGGTTGGCACGAAGGCTTGCAGTCCTTGATGATTTCCGATAGATGTACCGACATGTAGCTGTGAATATCTAATATCTCTCCGTTAACAACGAGACCGCGAAAGCAACCGATGAGACCTTGCCGGACAGAGGAGGTCTTCAGATGCTCTCTGAAAATTACAATGTCGTTTTAGACAATCATTGTTCATCAATGAGAAACAAGTTCATCACGAAAATCATTCACTCGATCGAAAGTTACTCACGCAGTAGCGCCGCCAATGAACATGGATCCTTCGAACGGGCCAAACTCTTCCTCGGGTAACAGATCTACCATTTGGAAGTCGGTATTGATCATGAATCGCACGTGATAGTCGTTGTAATCGATCCAGATCTTCTGCCATTCGCCGTTGTTAAGCTTGCGCCGGCTCTTCACCTCCAGTTCGCGGATGGTGCCGGTGTTCAGGGTGAAATTGAAAGTTAATCGATATTCCGACGTCAACGCAACCATGAAGGAAGGATAATTGTTTCGTATAGGTGGCTGATACAGAAGAATGGCCTTTTCACCCGTCGTTCGGAAGCTGAAGGCTATATCGCCTTTTCTCCAACCCGGCACTTCGATATACGATTGCGACGTCGTGAATGTTACCACGTACTTCTGTGTGTCTAGAAATTATTATTAATTAATCATTATCGATTTGAAACAAATAAAAAATGCACAATTAAGTGGGATGGAGAATAGGTATTAATATATTAATAATAATTAGGATAAAGGAGTCGGCTTAATGTGAAAGACTGATTCGCCGCGCATAATAGGCCGGAAGAAACCGATTACGTGCGTTAGACACTGTCAAACATTATTATCTTCCTACAGTATAAATTTAATTTTGTATTATCCGTGAATTGCTCTTGCCGGCCTTATTTCTCTCACTTTAGTTGGTATTTACCAGTCTGTTTACATATCTTTATTATTAGTTGATTCCAAATTTATCCTTATCTTGAGAAATTTTGTGAAAACTTCTTGTGCGAAATACCCTCAAAAATCAAATAATAAGAAAAGAATAATAATACACAATTGTTTATATAAAATAGCGTTGGTCACAAACATACGCACAGTTGCTCTAAAAATGTCTTATTGTTTTCATTGTTTAATCACGTTAAGAAATATCGTGTTGGTTATTAGCATAACATGCGCGCGGCCTCGATTTCTAAGTCAGTTAGACAATTAGACTCATTAAGTGGCGTAGCTCAATGAGCTGAATGTGCACGTACTTGTTTCCACGCATTCCAGCGGACCTAAGGTGATACGTCCACGAGCGTCTTCCTCGAGATCTCTCTGTTGCAAGAACACCATCCCGGTGATACCCAAGGAGTCAGGTGTCTCATAGTATCCTTCGTCCGATAACCATTTTCCGGCATTTCCGGTGGACACATCGCAGTTACAGCTCAAGTTTGGGCTCACGCATGTTCTGTTCACTAAAGCGAAATTAATAAATAACATCCTCTCTGAGACCCCCGAGACTATGTTTGAACGCGGATCTTTCAGAGGATCATTGTATTACGAATTCACTTGAAAAGGGACTTACTTCCGCAAGGGCAGGATCCGCGATTAACGTTTCCGATGTAATCGACGGTGGTGCCTTTCGATCCCAAAAACCATGTGGCGCTATGCAGCTCCAAGGGTGCCTTGTAACAGTCGTACTTCACGTACTGACTGCAGTAAAGTGAATGTGAGATCAGCTCTTGAAGCATCTCCGCAGTAAACTGTCTGTATTTGATGCTGAAAGAGAAGTCACTCTCGATGATGGATCTGACGTCCACTTGGGAGGGCAAATTGTGTTCGACGATCGTCTTAGTCGAATCCTCGATTGACTGAAACTCGCACTTCACCAAGGCAGGCGGAAATCGACCGTTCCCGTCGATGTCGATTTTGTAAACGTCGTCCTGCGTGTATCCCAAGAGTGCCAGCTCCTCGCAGGTTTTCCTGTATCGCGCTGTGAAAGTAGGATTAAGCATGAAGTACACGAATCGTAATAATATAGAATTATAGAGATTATTAATGATAGAGAAATATTAGAATATATTCTTTATTATTTAATCTCTCTTCTATACCTATAAGTAAATAACATAATTGTTAATTATGTGGGATGATCGTAATTTGTCTTACCAAAATGGCAATTTTTCCCGATGTATCCAGTATCCGTGCAGTCGCATGTGATTCTATCTTCCTTGACTGAACATTTACCACCGTGTTCGCAAGTATTCGGTCTTTTGCACGGGTCTACGAACTGACAGTTATCCAAAGCGACTTCTCCGATTACTCTCTGCGTATTAATCACGTATCTAGGTTCGATTCTCTGATCGTTCACTCGTATTTCGCGCATACATCCCACCAAACCTGAAACGTAAGGAAGGAAGCGAGGAGCATAGAGAAATCTTTATATTTTCTTCTGATCTTTTGTAATCTTTAAAGAGGTCTTTGACTTACCCGCGTTACTTTTACCACTGCCTATAATGACTTTGTCGCCCAGCTCAAACGTCATGGTGAAAAGCTTGCTCTGCTTGTTTCTGTAATCGACTAGGATACTGAACTCGCCCTTCGTGTAATTAAGTTCCACCGCGTGCCAAGAAGTATTGTAGGGCGGAAATTTCACTGCCGCTGACACCGTGATATTCTCCGTCACGACCGGCAGCAAGTGGAAGCGGATTTCGTCGTTCACTTGACGTAGCTATGAGAACGCGAATGCACACGAATTATCAAATGGCCGGGAAATCGTGAAATATGTAAAATAGCAGTGCGAAAGATTACCTCCCAATACCCAAGTCCGCGATTGCTCTTCACTTCTCCCGAAGCGATAACTGCGATCGGCTTTGAGCTCTTGAAGTCGAAGTTCAGTTTCAGCGAGTCGGTTCGCTCGACAGGCCACCAGATATGACTTCCCGCGAAGGGATACGTAATTGGGATGACTTCGACGTCGGCTTCGTAATACTCGGGCTCTAGCACGCCGATATAATGCACCATGGGGTTGGAGCGCTTCAGCTCGTATATAATCGACTTGTCGTTGAAGAATACGTATTTCAAAGATCCTGTAAAAAATACAAGAGCGTGTTGGCTGAGCGATAGGATTTTGTCGGGCAAGGGTCATTACAATCGAGTAGTTTCGTTTGATGCAAACCTGCGAAGTTATTGTGCGACAAAAGACCCTTCTTCTTGTGAAGTTCCGGTCCACCGCCGATGTATATCTCAGGGTCGATGATCATATTGTAATTTTCTCCCGGCACTTCCAACACTTTCACCTCCTCGTCCAAACTAACGAAGACGAGAGATCCGTTGTGGAAAATAGTCAAATTGTTCCAATGGTCGGACGTGACGTAATCGCCCAGCATAGTAGAGATCTTCGAGTTGTGCCCGAAATCGAGCTCGACGTAGACCGATCCGTTTATGATCGAAGCTGCGACGTAATGCGGCGTGCCGTCTATCTCGCCGGAGGCGTAAAATAGCGCTGAATCGTCCCACTTCGTCTGAAAGTAGATCTGTCGTTTGAAAAACGTTCGAAATCAAATTCGCGCGTGAAAGGCGTATCTTAATTTTTGTACGGGTCGTCGAAAAGCGGAGGATAAATTTGCGACATGATATAACTGCAAATCGCAGCTTGAAATCTCATTAGCGAGAACAATTGTCTGTTATCTAAGTAGTGACTTTTTTTCAAGAAAATATAATTCTCAGTTTTAATTTTTAATACACATCGTAGCGACATATTCGCGGTAATTGAGTGTTCAACGCAAGACGAATTTCATTGTGTCTGCACAATAGCCCTACGCTACGACATAATTCGAGAGGTAGAACTCGATACTCTCCTCGAAGAATTTCTACGGTGAATTTGTCGTCATAGAAATTGGTCGATAAATAAAGGCAGCTGCTCGTAACAGCACAAAGTGTGTCCCCTTCAACTTCGCCAAAGAGATGCGTCTCATAATGAATCAATGGGGCTATACAACAGCGAAAGAAATGCCGGTCCCATTACAATGAGCGCGGTGGTCAAATACCTTAAAAGCAAGGCTGATCCTGTTGACAGACGAGTGAACACGATCCTTCCAATCATACACGCGGAAGGACACGTACGAGGAACCTCTTAGCGTCAGTATCGTTGCGGCTGAAAAATGATTTTACGTTTCGAACTCTATTAATATGATATTGGGTCGGGTTCTTTTAAGCACGCGCGAAAGCTTTATCTCTTCTGTCGATAGGCTAATGCACGTCCAGCCATCGTTTCGATGTAACTTACATTCCTCTGATAACGTATTCTCGTACTTTCTCAGAGGAACTCTTTATTACGGCACATTTCTCGAATATATATATGTATATATAATAAATAAAAATAATTTTAGCACATTAAAAAAATATATATATTTTTTTTATTTATTATATATATTTTTTTAATGCTAAAATTATTTTTAATATTGACCATTGCGATAAAAATTCAAGAGAAGGTAAATAATATAACTCATTTAAGATATAGATAAATGAGTTAAAAGCTTTTTAAAATGAGATTGAATACTGATTAAAAAAGAATAAGTATTGAATCAAATTACTTTACGTACTGTACACATCGCAACGTTCACCCTCGTACTTCGTCCCGAAGCAGTCGCACGTTAGGCTGTTGTAATGATTCACACATTGATTGGGAACGAAGCATAAGTTCTCCCGTGTTCTGCATCTGCAAATTCAGGTTTAGGACAAAATTAAATATTCTATTTGTACTCACACCGATCGATTCCTTAGCTCTTAGGAAAGACTTACTTGTCGATGCAGCCTTCCTTAACGTTCTCGTGCTTGGTCGCGATTAACGGCCGAATGGGCAATAAGTCGCTAGCGGATTTTCCGGAGCTCAGAACCATATCCCTGATGCAACCGACGAAGGACTCTATTATGTACTTTACCCCATGCAATCGTTCCTCAGAACTCAATCCTGTGAAGACAGACAAAGAAAGAGAGAGAGAGAGAGAGGGATAAAAATATTGAGAAATCTCCGAAGACTCGACGAAAGACTTTGCTCACCTCCGATTAGAACGACAGAGGCTAGCTCTTCCGATACGCCATAATTCACGACACGTTCCAAGACCTTCAGAGTGGTCTCGGCTTGTTTATCGTCGACTCTGGCGATTAACTTCGCCCCGTGCACGTCGATCCTCACGAGAACGCTGTGCCACTCATCTCTGTTGAGGCCTTCGCCGACCGTCAGGCTGGTTGACTGCTTGCCGAACACGTGAACAACTTTCAGCTGACCTTTCTCCACTATCACGTACAGGGCGTAAGGATCGAGGCTTTCCGGACGGTCTTTGACGCTGTGATAAACCAGCAAACCGTGCGGAAGCTTCGTGCGGAATTTGAAGGATATCTCGCGGCACAACCTGTCAGACAATATCAAACAACGTATACAATTACATATTATAGTATTTAACGTGACATAACATCATTATCTATTGAATGAACATTAATAGATAATCCAAAATTGCACTATATTTACCTCAATTGGAAGGTTTTGATGCCGGGACCATCGAGTTGGATAAAAGTGTTGCTTTGCGCAAACATGAACGTTTTCTCGTGGCCCGATTCCATGAAAGTTAACTCCTTCGGTAGAAAGATGTGGTAGAATTAATTCTTCTAGTAAAACGTGACGTATTTATGCAAGTTGAGAGTGGTCTTACTTTTCCTCGTTTGTGCTTCGGCACCGGCGGCTTCGTCGGCTTGGGAGGTGTGAAAGTCGGTCGTGGTGTGCTGCTCGTCGTCGGGGGCGAAGTGCTGCTTGTCGTGGTGCTTGTTGTCACGAATACACTGCCCTTGGTCACAAGATAAGGAGGTAGTGTGTCTAGGAACAGTCGATGAATTTGTAGTATTTTGCTCCATTTTTTCGCGTTCAACAGAATGTTCTTAAACTTGCCAATTAAATATTTCGTAACAAAAAACCTATTCAAATATTTCGTAACAAGAAACCTAACCTTTATCTTTAAGTTTTAATTTGATAGATATAAATAGCAAATAATTCACATATATAACAAGTTTTGCGTAGAATATTTTTTGGATTTTAATTTCTCTGTATCTTACGATCAACGCCGCCGATGCAATAATGAAGGCATTCGGTTTCCGAATTAAATCGATTTTCATTTCCGAGACAGCCGCCGTAAGAGAACATTCGGCATTTCCCTTCGGCCTTGTTGAAGGTCCACTTGTGAACGTAGTGATTACAAGGTCCGGGCTCTGTCTTGACAAGACACCTGTCCGGTAGAAATCTCTTGGTCGTGATAAGGACTTCCGTTTCCTCAACCATGTCCGTTTTTGGCGAATCTGTCTGATTGGCCGGAATCTTCGCGACTACGTTGAGCAAGACAAGGATCCCGAGGATCCTCTTGTCGCAGTGGGTCATTGTTCTTCATTCGCTGAAAGAATAATTCAGGTTTCACGTTAAAAGATACAGCTAGGTCCTCACAAATATAATAGAAAATTGAAGCACATATTAGATTGATGCAAAGGGTATATCTCAAATAAAATTTTTTAGTTTGAAAGATCCACAATTATTACTAAATAAAATCAACAATTTTTTCTGATGCACTAATTCTGCGAGAATTTAGTAGAAAATTGACGAATCTTTTGCACCTATCTAATAGAGAAACGTATCACAGATACTCAGACAATTTTGCATTCAGCAACGAAACAATGCGAATCCAAAGTGAAACTGACACTGATCTCAAACGAGATATGTTCCGCATTATTCTCAGGTACAAACATTTCGCGACAAAATACGACCGCGGTTAGGCTTTTTCCTGGCTCATGGCGTTTCTCCAGAGTTCTAAGCGCGGCACCATCGATTTAATCGAGTGTGGTAGGTCGATTAGGATCAGACGCGCTTTCACGCTCGAGGGCTGCCTCACCTCGGACGCTTTTACGATTCAGGCCACGTGGACACCCACGCTCTTTTCCGTAAAGCGCACGAGAAAGCAGCAACATCGTCCTTCCGGTGTGTCTTGCTCGTTCGCGCGACACTCCGGGGCCTACCCCGACGATTCGCAGATGCATTTTTGCGATTGCAGCTGCCGCTTTCGGATTTACGACTTCCCCTCATGTCGTGATGCCTGCGGGCAGGTACGACCGGACTCGCATGAATGATGCAACGAGGTGTACATTCGATGCGGCCGGTTGAGCCATCGCTACCGTTCCGATACAATCTCCCATTTTTCTCGTGCCGAAATATCTTCCGCTTACATCTCAACGCTCGATGGAACCGGGGCTGACGTCAAAAGTGTGCGCCTTTACGCTTTCAATGCGCTTCGTATGTGCAACGCGATACGTTGGCCCGATATACGCGCTCGTGATAATAACGTGACGCGAGCGAGACGTTCACGGGGGACGGTCGTGACAACGACGACGACGCCGTAATCCGACCGCAGACGGATCGGTCGTTTCCTCGAACACCCTCGGAGTATCGTAAGCTCCTGCAATTATCTCTTTCACGGGGTCAATTGAGTTTGATCTACGAAAGAAAGACTACGCGTCGCGCTCGCCCGCCGCGAATAATCGGCTCGACCCTTATGTTTCCTGTCTGTGGGTTCTAATGTGACGTTCTCGGGAACGCACCTTAGCGTGCTGACTGTGCACTTCCTTCTGCAACATGCGAAATCCGCTTTCGATTGAGTCCGACACCACGGAGCGAGGCACAGTAACGGATATTGCGATATAAGTCAACGTATTTTGACCCGTCACATTCGGCGGAGTGTCCGTCTTTAGTTTACACGCAACCCGTTTTGGATACTTGACGTAAATCATCGTGTCGAACTCGATTCAGTTATACGATCTTAACGATGGCGAGTCGCCTCGCGTCCGCCGCGAAATTGAACTTCTTCTCATCATCCCGTAATTGATCGAAGTCGGTGAATAGCAGCGTACCTCCAACTCGAACTTGGACGTCCGCCGAAGCGAGACGCGTGCAGCGACCTTGACGGATAACGAGGACCGCAGGAAGAGAGTCGCGGTCGCGGCGTGGACCTTCGCGGAAAATCGCGGGAAATCGCGATTACCGCGACCGACGATCGCGGAAACCGGCAAAGAGATCGTTCTTTATTCGTCGTATCTTGATCGTAACGTCCTCGCAACACGACGACCAATGTCGTGTTCGTCTGTCTCTCTCACGGTGCCTGGCCGTGTATGGATCTCGCGCAACGCCCCAGTTAATTAGGAGACGAGTCTATCGTACATCATCTGAAATTTCACGCCGTCGCGAGGAATCTCGCGACCACGAAGACATCAACACCGCCGCGGCCGCTTTCGTACGATTCTCGTACGCGAATCTCTCCCCGTAGAATACGCGAATGTCTCCGAGAATAATCAATGTCTGATATTAATACGAAATATTAATTTGTCGTAACAATTTGCCTCTTCAAGAACGCGCATGATGCATAGAAAGGATATTCTTTTGTTTGGAAAATGTCTTTCTGTTTGACATGTTAATCTTCAAATGAGATTACGTAGCGTTAAACGAAGATATTTTACTTGCACATCAACATATTTTATATTCAACTCCACGAATAATTGCTTAAATTTAAAACGATAAAATTCTAACAAAATTTTATATTAGTATTATGTATATTAATTTTAAGTGGATATAGAGGGAGTATAACTTGAAATGTAACACGCGTATAAAAACAATATATTCTCAATCTAATATTTTGTGCCTTCTATTAATGAAAATTATTGTTGAATAATAAGAATTTTCTTCGTTACACAGATCGTTATACAGATTTTTTTGTTGGAAAAAAATCAATATAAAATATATTCTTACAAATAACTTATCTTCGTTTGATACTATGTAATCTTATTTGAAGATTAACTTGTTAAAAATAAAGAATGTCTTTTCTTGTATATAATGTTATATTTCTCTTTAAAGAAATATAACACTCGTGTCTCTCTTTATAATTGAGCACTTTGGTGATTGCCAGCAACGTTGGGAGATTTGTGTGTATGTTGTTCACCTAATTTGTTATAAATCTAAATCTAAAAAACACGAATTAAAGTTAATCTGTTTCTGTCTTCATTCACAATTTGACCAAACGCTGTCGCTCTGCTATGAGTCGGCATCGTGCACGAAAGTGATGCGATATGCTCATGAAACGAACATTGATCTCTTTGGCTTCGATCGCGACGCGACTTTTCACTTACTTAATCAGGATAATTCAATCTGATCTACTGATCTACATAATCCCGGGCGACTGTAATCGTTCGAAAGAGATTTCGAGCGACGTGACTCGGTCGTAGACGGTGATTTCCCAACGAGACTACTCTGGGCCGACGTGGTCCCGTCGGGGATGCGAGGGCCCACGAGCACCGGGGGGTATCCGCTCGTGTGCGGGCTTTTTAAACTGCAGCAGGTTCCGCGTCGAGCACACGAATCTGCGTACCTTTGCTCGTCGTGGTCCAGATGAGATCGCGGCTCGTACGCGGGGCAGGATGTGACGTCAGAAGGCCCCCGCCAAGCACCGTCCGACGGCGGCTGCGAGTCAATTGTCTTCTTTCACACTGACACACTGGCCAAATCCCCGCATCGACACGTCGGTCACACGTATCCGCGCGCACGCACACACGTACACACCGACGCACTCGAGATTCGCGCGCGCGCGCGCGCGCGCGTACGCGTCTCCTCCTCCTCCTCCGCGTTCTCTTCGTCCTCTTCCTCCTCCGACTCTTGCTATTGCTGCTGCTGCTGTTGCTTGCAGCAAGTAGACACTAATTTATTAATGCCACTCCGACCACTGCTCTCCGTTACTCATCACGGTTTATTGACTTTCATTGCGATCTCGTCTCGCGCCATACTCTAACGTTTCTTCGCTCTTTTCCTCCCCATACGACGAGGCCGCCGCAACCACTCGTTTCCTCTTTTTCTCCGTGCTCGCGAGTGCTGCGCTTATGCGAGCGCCGGCACGACCGTCGATCATTCGCCGTCGATCGATGCCTCGCCGTGGTCTTCCGCGAAGTGATATTTCTTTCGGATATCTCCCACCTAGGTGTCTTCCTAGACTCCTTCCGAGGCTATTACAACGACGACGATAAAGGTGAATGTCTGCACGATGACTTCGTCTGATGGGAAACGTAGTTTTTTTCCGAGGGTGTATATCGAACGATACTTCTGCACCTGGACAAAATGGACATTGCATTAGCGAAATGTGACAGCGAATTGTCGTTACTGTCATAAAAGAATTTTGTTACTATATCACAGGAAGAAATATCTGACTTGACAAAGTGGTAACTTAAAGAGGAAAGATCAACTTTACAACAATACCCTGTAACGTATGTCGTTAGACGTATCAATGGGGCAAAGTGCTTCAAATATATTCACATAGAATATTCTAGGACTTGAGTATGGAAACTTCGAGATTTCGTTGGAGCTATCGCTCCACACAGAATTTTTCACAGAGACAATGACCAAGTTTTACTTAATAATAGTTTCTCGACGTCTGATAATACTTCTTACAAACGAGCGATACTTCTTTCTGTCTCCCTTCTGTAAGAAGTTTCGCGAAATATTTCAGGAGTAAGTGGCTGCGTGCCAACCTCCTTACACCTGAGCGCGCAGATTTACGTTGTTGCGCGAAGAGAGATTAGAAAACGCACCCCTCTTGCAAAGAAACCGTTTTTCTTGCTATGCGTGAGTAATCCACGAGTAACAATTGACGGACGTGTTACGGTGGAAACACATAGGAGTGCCCGTTTCCGATAGCAGCGAGCGGATAATTTTTACGTAGCAGTTAAGTTTCTACGCTAGCCTTCCGGCGATTAACGTCGCGAAAGCTCTTACAGGCTAGTCGAGAGAGAGTGGGCGCGTGCTTTCCGACGTGAGAAAGGGGTCGTTGAGTCGAATCGATAGGGTGTGTTATTGCAGCAAATAATAGTTCGTGGCTATATATTTATAAAGAACGCGCGACGAGACGCTTACATGTCGCTTAGCAGATCATTATCGAGAATGTTTCGCCGGTAATTCGCCTTTTAAAAACTACCCGACACTTCTTTGTCGTTTATACGTTTTGTCGTTTAAGTTTGTCGAATTTGCAAGTGAAACTCGCGGACTTCGATGTCCCTCTTTATTCGCGTTTGAATTTGTGCGAGATCTGTGCTTCTCGTGGAGCCAGACTCGGGCGTTTCTCATATACGTGCTTCTCTTTCCGCGACTTTTGGTGTCCACGACCTACCACGCTTTGCTGGAGGTCGCTTCTCTCTCGTGTCGCCGGGAGATCGATATATCGAACAAAAGCCACGGCTGGGTCGTCATAAAGTGCTTGCGTTTTTGGCTCAGAGGAGCGCCCTCGCGAAAAGCACGAAGACACTCTCGCGACGTCTCGTGTGCGTCGAGTGGCTCGACGGGTTTTCATCGTTTCGCGATAAAAATTAACGAGGCCCGTATGAGCGCTCGATTTGAGCCCCGCTACTTCGTGTAGCGCAAATAAAAAATGGATCGCGGCACGAAGAGGCGATGACGATCACCTGTTGGATAATATATGTCGGCGGACAGTATGGTTAGTATAGTCAGACGCCCACGCAGATAGACTATAGATTCTTTCTTTCTCTCGTTGAAAAGAATATTTCTGGTCGTGTTGGTCATGCGCGTATACCAAGTGACTCATACCACGTGTCGAGCTTTGTCGTTTACAGTCTTTTGTACGCGGAAGGGGTTCTTTCATTATCGTCATCGTCATTGTCGTTTCGTGGCGTGCGGCGTCGTTTAGGACGAAAGTAACAATTTGCATGAAGGAAGTCGATCGTGTAATCATGGGACAGGCGACGGGGGAATCGTGGAAGGAATCGATTAATTGATGACGATAAGGTGAATGACTCAAACACATGACACTTTGCTGAGAAGTACCTTTGTGTCCCTTCAGAAAATTATCCGATGGAATATCTGATTGGCTCCTTCGAATTGTGTTATGGAAATAATCAGCCAGTTAGGAAAGGTTCAAACTAAAGAATCGGCGCGAGGAGAACTTCGTTTTCTTTGACATGTTAATCTTTACAGTGTTCGAAATTATCAATTTGAATCTAAATAAAAATTTTATTTGAGTTTCATTTTCTTTTCTTCGTGCTTTTCTCGTCCCTAGTAATCCATCATGAATACCTTCGCTTTATATTCCTTTAGAAAATTATTCGGTAGAATATCTGATCGGTCCCCTTGAATTGCGTTATGGAAATGATTAAGCAGTTTCAAAAAAGTTCAAGTTAAAAAGTCAACGCGAAGAGAATTGTCATCTTCGTTTTTTCTGACATAGTTACTCTTTACAGTGTTTCGAATTATCAACAGTGTTTCGAATTATCAACCCGAATCGTTCTGAATAAAAATTTTGTTCGATAATTTGTTATTTGTTTTGTTAGAAATTTTGTTAAAAGTACCAATGTTCGGATATGTACCTAATTCTAGATACTCTTTTTGTTTTGGTCTTTAAACACAAAAATTTAAACTTTCAACATAAAATATATATACAAGTATTGAGTATGTAAATATATTCTATGTTAAAAACTTAAATATTCGTATTTAAAGACCAAAACAATAAGGATGTCCAGGATTAAGTATGTGTCCGAAAATTGGTACTTTTACTTTATTTTCTCTTCTTTTTGTTTCGTCTCGAATAATCCATCATGAGTATTGTTTCTTTGTTGAAAGCATTTCATAATTTATTATTGAAGAGGTTCATTTAAATATTAGCGGAGAGAACTTATAAATTGATACCAAGTCGAATCAAGGAATGGGAGAGCTCTGCGCGAAATTTTGAGGGAGTTGCGTGAGAGAAATGCGCGATAATCGTTGAGAACAAAGACACGACTTACTTGACCCCGAATTCCAAGCGGCTTTGTGAACATGTCACTTGAGAGATCGATCTGACTCGCGGGTGTCATCGCAGATGACATCTGCGAAGTGCGCCGTTATCAAGAGAGCGCCATCATTTGTGCCTCGCACTTGAAATTTATGTGCGATGTAAACATAGGTGAGCAGTTATAACCAGATCTGCGACAATAACACAGCGCGACAATTAGCAACCGCGAGAAAAGCACATGCACAATGTTTCGCCGGTGACAAGGAATGTCAGGATAGCGTAAAGCGCGAGTCGCCTCTTAACGAACTGTAAAATTCCCGTGTCTCCGCTGACAAATGCGCCGTGTCTCTCGAGTTTAAATTTTTTTTTCCACGCGGAAACTTATCCGCTCCGTCACGAGAACTTTGGTTAGTTGAAGCCTCTTAAAAGTACGACGGTTTAATTGAAACTATTAATTCGCCTGATGAGTCGCCGACGACAATCGTGTACAAAGACGCCGAACTTTGAAGATCTCTTTCTCTCTTTAACTTTTATTTACAATATCTTACAAGTTCGAATCGCAATAATAATTTCCAACTCTGAGCCGCGAAACCGGCTCGATGCTTTGCCGCAGATTACTTGCAATTAAGGTCATCGTTTATCAGGTCGAAAGACACGAGATGTAACCTGGATGCGCGAAGAACACTCTCGTTCTTCATAAACTTCACGCGATGTACACTCGTGGACAGCAAGGCTGACGAGTACGTTTTCTGTGAGTTTCGGAATATATCCTGTTTTTTCAATGGGAGAATTCTCCCGTTGGAAACATGCTCGTCAACCCTTTGGTTCACGACAGTGCAACGCGTGTACCTTCTTTACGGGGAACACGTGAGAGAAGTCGGAGCGGTCTCGTGAACGCGCGAGGATGAGTTTGACAAATGTAACTCCGAGCTCGCACGATCTCGAGGCGATCAGAACGGAGCGGGCGGCCTCGCGTTTAAGTCGTTAATTAATTGCATCGTTTGTCCTTACCTTATCCCGTCGGAAGTCGCTTCTCGTCGGAAGAGTCGGCCCGGCTCCGCTCGTCCACGGTATCTTTAGCGGAAGTCTCACGTCGATGATCGATGTGACGTTGCGGAGCGATCGATCCGGTGAGATCTTCGGGAACTCGCGCACTCGCGGAAGACTGACGTTTCTCACTTCTCAAGCAAGTAGCACCTTCGGCTCTTGTCGCTCTTACGGGAAGAGACAGGAAGAGGCAGCCCCGCGGGAAGAAGAACCGGTCTCTTCCGGTGGCGTTTCCGACAGAGGACGTGGACGGACTGACGCGTCTCGACGATCTCCCCTGAGGATAGGGAGAGAGAGAGAGAGAGAGAGAGAAAAAAAAAATCCGCTCTTCTTTCCTTCGGGCTCCCTTTCTTCGCGCGCTTCCGCCCTCCGTGCCGCTTCTTAGCCGCGCGCGGCTCTTCAAGTACGCGGCGCGACGGAATCGCGCTCACGACTGGCACATTAAGTCACTCTCCCCGTGCGTCGGTCGTGCTACCAGGCTTTTCCTCCACCCACGTACACGCAGTCGCGTATCAATCGAGGGTGCCGTGACGGCTGTTCTCGTACGACCCTGTAGAAGAAACAAGAACGAAGGTTTCAATACTTGATCTCACAACATATAATTCATAACGTGTAATGTTTGATTTCCAGCTCTACTCGTCGTGTTCTACAAAATGTGTTGCAGTCATTATGGATGTTACGATTGATTAGTCATTAATAATTTACACGCGCGTCTCTCATTAATATTTACTCGAGACCTAATTTCTTATGACGATCGAGATGCACGATGAATGTATCTGGGGAGATAGTTTCTAGACTTTTCGTTTAGATAAATTGCATCGGGAGAAAAAGAGAGTGCGTCGATCTCTCTCGGAGAGCCGGTCACGCGAAGTGAGTGCGTGCGCGTCGTCGGCTCTTCAGGGCAACGCGATTCGAGAAATCAGAATTAATTAACTTGCATCGAGGAATCTCGGACTGGTGGAAGTCGCACATACGTCGTGAGAGACGTGTTAGAAGTGTAATAAATAAAACTGACAACGAGATAATAGACAAATTGACCCTAAACACATCCGACTCGTTAGCCGAGTACCAGAAGGTCGGCTTTTGTTGTCGCGGTGAGGCACGGCCGTACTTTCCACCGTTGTCGTGCAGGGTGCAAAACACAACGACACACCACTCGAAACTCTTGCGAAAACGTAACGTATCTGTGGAAAATTCACTCGATCGTCGTCGGGCTGTATGTTCTGTTGTTGAGTACACATCGTTCCGAATAATTCCCGATCACGGGGGTGAATAACAAGGGTTGTCGACTCATGTTCAGCATCCATCGCATTTTCCATCGTACTTGGCGAATGATCGTTGCCGAGCGCAATTTAACGTAACCTTCCACGCTAGAACAAACGAGATTTGAGATAGGTACAATTACTTCTAAACCGGATAAACGTCTTTTATCCGCGAACCAACGCGCCAGGCCGTCGTCGCATTTTATTTCCCTCGCGAAACGCTCGATTCCAACTTCTATCTCGTATTCGTGCACAGCGCAAAGGCTTCATCACCGATATTACGAGTGGTATAGATTGAACTGGCAGATTCATGTGGAATTGTCTCCCTTTCATTTTTTTATGAATCAGTTTCAATCTTGCCGATTGAAGTGGAGCTTGACAAGAATAAAGTTCATAAATTTGTTAGGCTAATTTCGAGTACTTTATATTTTATATTTAAAGTCGGGTCATAAGTTTTGAACTTATCATAGCTTTGATTCAACGAACTTAAAGAGTTGGACAGTTTTACATGAGATGTCCTCTCTAATCATCAGCATTATTATTTTTCTATGGATTTTTTCTTGGATTAATTTCGGTTGGATTTTTGTATATAATGAGAAAATTTATATTTATAATAAGGTAGATATAATTACATGTGATTTATAGAAAACGTCTGTGAGTATTCAAGTAAATATCTTAACAAAACGTGAAGGTGAAAAAATTGCAAGAGGACGTAAAAGGAATCCTGATACGTTTATTGTAACAATAGATACGTGTTTGCTCACGATGTCTATTGTACATAATTATTGCGTGTGCCAGACGTGATCGTAAAAGAAGTTCAGAGTTATTCCTTCTTGGTTGCAGCTGATTCGAACGTGCTATACAATGAACTTCTTCGAAGCAATTAGACGCAAACTGTCTTGTAATCACACGCATAACGTTCGCGCGTTGTTCTTTTCTTTATGCAGAATAAATTTTTAAACCAGCAACGTTCGAAGCAGTCCATAAATATTTTTCGTACGTTTTGCACGTTTGAATAATCATATTAGATTTATATTGCTTTATTTTGATAATGAATTCTTTAATGCTTCGTCTCATGATCTTTAATTTCAATTAAAGTCATTATGTAAAACAAGCTTTCTAAATGTAAATGAGTGACGTGATACGTCAGTTATTGCACCACTTATACTGAGAGAAAAATGTTTAATATTTGTCACTTATAATCATATAGAGAAATAATTACTATAAATTACGGTCAAGACAACCATTTTTTAGTCAACTGTACTATAATTTTAGTGATAATAATCTTATATGCATGTCCAACAGGAATATAGTAGTAGTAACATGCATATAAGGTTATTATCACTAAATTATAGTACAATTGATTAAAAAATGGTTGTCTTGACCATAATTTATAGTAACTATTTCTCTATGTGATTATAGTTACAAATACTCAACATTTTTCTCTCAGTAAATTGTATCGATACGTCATCCTCGCGAAAGACAAATGTCATAAACAGAATATTTTTGGCTAATTGGATTTTTCAATCTAAAGCTCGTTTATGGATCTGATATTCCTAAGGTCAAGGTGTAACCTATATTTATTGTCGTGCACGCATTTGCATGCATGCAATCGACAAGCTCCGTGCGTACCGATATACGACCGGCTACAGTTAACTCTGTTTGCTCTCCTCATGGTTGTTACTCGTGCACGTGCACGTAATTGCATGCCTCTTGCCGTACATAAGAGAACACAGTTTCGATGTTTACTTGCATTATACCATCGGCGATTCGATAGTAAAGTGACATTCGTTGTAACATCCACGAGTTATTTTATTTCTAACAGTCGATGGGGTTATTGTCACGCAGGATTGTCTAATATCATCTTAACTTTGTCATGTGAAAGCACGAGTAACGCGTGTGCAATCACTCGTTCTTGGTACACAAATCTTCTGTGACTATTAATGCGCAAGTCGTCTCTAAGTGGGCAGTAAGTAAATGAGAATAAAAAGAGCGAACGTGCGCTAGAAGTACCATGCGCGATATCGTTTAACGAAAGAGCGACCCTGATCTTGATCAAACAAATCTCAAGTCAAACAGCTATATCTCGAGATCTGTTTGCCTGTTTTTGCGAAAACATACGAGCGCAACGAATTTCCTCTTGCTGTACCTAATGAGTTACTTCTCGGTTTAAATCGGAACATTTTCACTTTTCGATTTTCTCTGATTATCTTTCGGAGATCAAAAACTCGTGAGTATTAGAAAAGCGCTTTGATATATACCATATCCAAGAGCTATACCCGGAATTTTTCTAAAATATTTGAAATTTACAAAAAATATTAAAAATAATCAAGATATACTAATGATAAAATGGGAGAAAAAGATATATATTATATTTTATAATAAATTTTAATAAAATTATATAATATTATATAATGATATAATATTATATAAATAAATTATATAATATATATTTTTTATTAATATTTTTATTATATATAATAAAATATATATATATATATACATACTATTTATAGGTGAATGTATATAACATAGACTAAGAAAATCATAGAAGCAATCGGCATTTTAAATTGTATTTTCTAACTTCCCATACAGAAAAAATATCCAAAATACATCTCATGGATATCCTATAGATATCGCGATATCTATAGGATATCCATGAGATGTATTTCGGAGATTTGTTCCATATGGGTTGTGTCGATTTTTTTCAGTGAGTTATTTTAGATCTCGTTGACGTTTTCGATCTCGTCGATTTTCAGTGAGCTATTTCAGTCGACGTTGATCAGCTTAATCGAGAAGCGATGGACTAATTGCCGCTAATGACGATGCATTCATTATTGAAACCTAAGTCGACTCACTTAACGTTATTAACAGCCGTTTATGAGACCGAGCGTAAGATCGTTACGGTGTACGGTAATTGTCGCTAAAATATTTGACCCACATGTTACGTCAGTAGCGACTCACGTCCTGTTTAGCTTCTCCTTGCTATGAACTTTTATTTACATTATGACATTCGCAATATCAGATTGTTTAACAATGACGTTGTCCTTGTTGTATTAAGTGGATCATAAAATGATAAGGATTCGAGTTACTGCCAGTCATGTAGAACTTTGCTATAATTAGTGTGCAATATTCCAAGTATTGAGTGATCAATGTTTAGCGAAATTGATTTGTTGAAGAATCGTCTTTAAATCTTTTTTGCACTTTCTAATTTACAAACATTGGATGATATTAGAATCTATCATATATGCACATACACAATCTATTTTCTCAAAATATTATTTGAAAATTTTATTACCAAGAATACTTATTTAAATTTTGTAAATTTTCTCTGAATGAGATATTCAATATCACGTGATAGAATAAAACTTATATGTTGAAGCATCTTTTTATTTGTGCGTGCACTGATAAAAAAATGTAAAATTAATTTTAATAAATATTAAAATTTATAATTATTATTCTATAAAGAAAATTAGAGTTTTCTCACACACATCAAGATATTTGGAATAATTTCTAAATTGTGCCGATTCCATTTATGACATATCACTGATGTATATATGAATAAGATGAATATATTTAATAAAAATGCTAACAAGTAAACCTACTCAAAAGTTACACTCTAATTTGCTAATTTGCCACAAATATAGAAGCATAACAAATATTTAGTTCATATTTTTTCATTTTGGCCCATTTTGAGTTTCACGGGCAGTTTAATGCTTAGTTTTTTAATGTTCTCACCCTTATCATGACAAGTGCAACAAAAATGCATAAAAAATAAAATTGAATACAAGATATAGTTAAATATAATATTATTATATTTTTAATAAAATTGGCATAGTTGATACACGAACCATTCTAAATTTCTCTAGCCGAGAAATATTTCAAATATGTGCTAACTTATAGCGAATTCGGTAGCTTGCACTAGTGCGCACTGAGTGCGCATTAAGGCTTGTTTACAGTACATTCTTATATTTAAGATCGTGTCTTAAATACATATTTAAAAACATTTTAACTAATAAAATGATTCGTACGGATGTTATACATATCATATTATGGTTAAAAATATTTGAGAATTTATTTGAGAATTATTTAAGACAATTTTTAAATATAATAACATACTATGAACAAGCCTTAGTGCGCACTCAGTGCACACTAGTGCAAGC